CCAAAAAGGGATAAAGCAAGGGATTTAGTGAAGTAGGGAAGCATAGACAGTAAAAATACGATGAAGCTGGAAAGGTCGATGCCAAAGCCACGTAACATCCGGCCTATTGGCCTCGGTATATAGCCTACGGGTTCTCATCCAAGGAAGTGTTCCCAAAACATCAACTAAGGCACCCTTCATCCATATACACACGAGACTTTCTTAGTGTGCTCCTCAACGGATAACACAGCATGACCCTAGGTCAACTAGAACTGCCTCACGGAAACCTATCCAGTGGAAGTCCGTAACGCCCGAAGGCAATAGTCTACTGGCCAGAGACACAGTACATCCTATGTACCACTATACATCCTATGTACATCCTATATGCCCTACAATGGGTGAAATCTTCATGGAAGCATACACCAAGGTTTTCAATTCAATTCAACACTTTCACACATCATGCAATCCTATAATTAACTCATACAAATACTCCACAACTCAATTACTCAATCCTACAACCATGTCATTTCACAAAGTCATGAATATCAACAACAAAATTTCCGAAGTTACCAATATTTTTCACCAGTAATTTTTATGAATTTAATCACTATAAAATATCATTCTAAGTCACTTCTATCTAATACACATTTTCCATTTGAGCTCTCTAACCATATCAATCCATACACAATAGCTTTAGGTTTTCAAATTTGAATCTACCAAATTAACCAATTAAAAGTGTGGAAACTTACTCACAAGCAAGGCCTAGAACTCCTCCACACCATACCCAAGCATTGGAGGATCAATCAACTCCAAGAATCTCAAAATTCCACACTTGGCCGTGGACTTAGATGATGTTTTTCTCCCAAATGAGTGGGTTTCAAGAGCAAATAATGGGTAGGTTGTGATTGGATGATGATTTACTTAAACTTTGATGACAAACTGTGTTGGATTTGAGTGAGAAATGAGTGAGTTTGGAAGGAATGAAGTTTTGAGCCAAACTTGGTCATAGAGGGGGGAGGGTCGCGGGTTGATGAGAGAGAATGAGTGAGGATGATGATGAATAGTGAAGGTGCATATGTGTCTTTAGCTCACTTAAGTGGGGTGGGTCTCACTGCCACCTCACGCGATTCGAATTAATTCAAATCTTCCACTTGTTCAACTAAACGTCCATAATTTCCTAAACTATTTAGAAACTCTAATTTCTATCACTAATCATTGTCCTTTAATTGTCCTTGATCAGATGAATCTGGAGTTTTCCGGTCGTTCGGAGAAATCACAGTTTTAAGCTGTTATGCGCGTCTTGGGCATGCTTCCCCAAATACTCTAATTTCCATCCATTTTCACCAGAAATCATATTTCCTAGTCCTAGTTACCATTTATAACTTATTTCTAAACCTAGAGCTAAAAATTCATTCAGCATGCTTTACGGTGCAACTGTACCGCAATATTTTTACCAGGTAAAAATATTATTCATCAAATTTTCAGAAACTTGCCTAACCATTTAATTTTTCGTTCTGAATCCATTTCTATTGTTATTTTTTCATTTGAAACCTTATACTCAAATTTTCTACCCTAGGGTTGCGTGTTTGACGATTCAACTTTCATACGATCTCGGATTTTCGATCGGAGGTCATATTCATCATAAATAAGTACAAAATAGCTGCGAATGTCTTCTTTTTGCATCTTGTTGGTCTTTTTTCATTACAATTTTGTAATACGACAAAATATATATAAAATAATTGAAATAAAAAATCAAGGATAAAACCTAATCATAAAGGATTACCCTTCTTGTTACAACCTAAGAAAATACAACCAAATTTCTACCATATATTAAAGCCAAAAATCAAATAAAAGCATTGATTTTTATAAAAAAATTATAAAGGATACACATGCCAATATATTATAACAAATATAGAAAGCTAGGTGCCATATTTCACGATGCTAACTAATTACATGAAAATTATAAATCAAACTAGATCCACATCAAAACAAGCAATCCGAATTTGATACCAATTGAAGGAATTATTGGATCAGCGGAATCGTTTTAGACCATTGCGATTTGGGATGCAAACGGATCATCATTGTTTTATTGATTTACCGCTTGGTGTGCAGATCTCGTGCAGAATTTTCCTATGTATGATTCTTCTTCACGAACTGCTCACCTCAATGTCGCAGTACGAACAACCTCCTTGAAGCTGGATAGTGACAGATCTTCTAGACTATGTCTCAATGGAAAATAGAAAGTCTATGGGCACTCTCTTACTTTCTGGGAGATGGCCTTACCTTAGTCTCTGCAACTATCAAGTGAGAACTAGAGAAACTTATGACTATAAGTGTAGAATATATATGAGTTCTAAGAAATCCTAAACTTAAGCCGAATGCGCTTTAGGTTTTGTATACTCTTCTTACACACTAGGCCCTATTGGACTTTAGTGAAAGAGCAAAACCCATCAAAAACTTCATCTTCTTCGTGAATCGATCCTGAAAAAGAATTTTTTGTGAGCTTATGAGCTACACTTTTTAGAATTAGGATCATCCAAATAAGTCTTCTTTTTTAGCGAGCTTCATGATCTTCTAGTAATATACAGATTACCACACAAAAATCCTCTTTACCTGAGAGGTCGTTCAAATTGCTTTCATGAAATACATTTGAGGTCTCTTATGATGATACATTCTCTACTGGTCATATTGAGAATAAATTTGGCATTGCATCATTTTACATTTCTTGGAGCAAGGATCTTCATCTAGTGATTGAATCAGGTGATAGACTCTGTCTTGTAATCACTGCACATATTAGGTTATATTGTACATTTGTTATCATTGTATGCATATTGAGTGAGCCATTGGGTAGAGTGACTCTCCAGGACCCGTGATTTACTAAGATTGTTAAATATCATCCAGCGTTTTGGGGACCCACATTTCAGGTACTGCTGAGCCTGCAAGAGGAGCACCAAGCAAGAGGCTCGCATGGATTGAACATGGACATATAGGTGCATGAGGATTAATTGGCATTTTGGGAGATTTTATATTGATTCACATAGTAGTATGCATTTTGTATCATTGACTTAGAGTATGAACATTGTTCTTGCATGATGTAGCATTGCCATGCTTAGGGTTGTTCATACTTTTATCTAAGTCATTTGGTTACTATTCATGATGATGTAAAAGTTAAATTTGATAGTTGATGTTAATGTAATTAAATATACTCGAGGTTCTTGGTATGTAATATTGATGTATGTGATGAAAGGATTTAGGCCTATTTGGTATTGAGGTTGTATATGGTTTATATATGAAAATTTGATAATGACTTGAGATGTAAGCAAGCTATGGATAATACCTTGAATTATAAATAATGATAAGAATATGTCTTGCAATTAAGGATGTAAGTGCACCAAGGTTTGTTGGGCCTTTGGATGTCATTCCAATGTCAATTAGGTGAAATTGAGTTAATAAGATTAGTTGTTGAAACAAATGAATCCTGCCGAAATTTCCTGAAAACAGTAAGATTTTTACCCTAACTTTGGATATTGATATCTCCCTCATTTCTTGGTCAAATGAGATGTGGGAGCTACCATTTTGAAGCTTAGGATGTCCCCTACTTGTACTATAATATGGGACCATTATATGTTGTAGAACTTGCCCAGAATAGAAATAAGTGCAGACTATCCTGTTTCATAGATTTAAGGGCAACCTTTATCAGCCTTTTTATAAATTCAATATCTCTCTCATTTTTACCCAAATTAGGCTTATGATATATAAAATTAAAGATCAAGGTATCTACTAGAATATATTAAAATTTGGAAGCAAACAGATAAGTAGAACATCTACAATTTCAAAAATAATAAGGGAACTTGATGGACTCGAAAATGCAGCGTTGACATTTTTAATGAATTAACTTACGACAAGCATATCTGGAGTTATAGAACTCCAATTGAGGAATGTGATACCTCGTTGGAAAGTTAGAAGAGTCTAATTTAACACACTAAAATATGAGATTTTATGAATATGTAGTCCATCTACAATTTAGAAAAACCGAAGCCAACTCTGTTTTAGCAAAACGTCAAATTGTGTAATTAAGCTTTGTTAGTTTATTGAAACCATCTAGCAACTTTAAATCCAAATTATATGATGTTAAACTATAACATTTAGGTTTCCGTAATAGTTTTGAGTTATGATCATTGTTTGTAAAATGTCTAATACGATTGTTTTAAAAAAAAATGCAACCGTTGTTAAAAAATAAATTTTTTTCCTATATTTTGTAATGAACTGCTATGATTATAACTGCATTTAATATCATAATAGATAATAACACACCACACCTTTCAGTGTTACATGATGCATTCCATGTATTAGGCTTTAATGGATGACCTCGTGTCAATTTCGATAATTTCTTTATGTGGTATTCTTATGAGATTAATTCTTTTTATTTTTTAACATAGCTCGCTTAGCAATCTGTGTCACCTTTGAAATTTTAATTTTTATTAAAACACTTCGAATTTTATATTTTTTTCTTATAAATAATGCTTATTGTGTTTTAGGATTACATATGTCACTTTAAATCAGTGTAAAATAATAAGAAGTAATGTTATCAAAAAAAATAAATAATAATAAGAAGTAATTAAATAATAAATTAGCTTTATTAATCTTATGTTATAGTAGAGTAATTCTCTCCTACTATAGAAATATTTATGAATAATGCCTACACACTTATAAAAATAAAAAATAAAAAAATTTACACAGAAATCAATAAACGTGTAAAAAAATATATTCTTTTGTGTTCCATAAAAATAATATTTTTCATAATAAATATTGTCTAAATTCGAAATAAAAATTATGTTATCTACATCATTATAGCGTTGCTGTGAATCACTGCACTCTGCCACGTGGTGATCATGCAGATACTATCGCGAATCCGTAATATCTGCCGATGCACCTTCCCACTCAGAATCACTTGCCGTCCAGTCCAAAATAATATTAAAATACCAAGTCCCACCTCAGCTTCCGTCACAGTCCCAATTTTCATTCCTTTTCCGGGAAAAAGTTTTAGCAAAGGAAAAAAAAAATCGAAATCAAAATCAAAATTAGAAGCTCACCCGACACAACAACGTCACAACTTTGTTCTCTCACCTCACCGAAATCCTTCGCACTCCACACACACAACGCTTGCTTTCTCTGTTCTCTTTTCTCCTTCGGTTTTCGCTATTTTGCCATGACTATGACTTGAAGAAGAAGGCGCGAGGGAAGGAAGAGGCATGGGTGCGTCGCTATCGAACCTGGGGACGAACGGTTCAACCATCGGTCCAGGCCTCGGGGACATACCAGAGGGCTGCGTGGCCCGCGTCTTTCTGCACCTGACTCCGCCGGAGATTTGCAATCTGGCGCGCCTGAATCGCGCTTTTCGCGGCGCCGCGTCCGCGGATTCCGTTTGGGAATCGAAGTTGCCCCCTAACTACCAAGATCTGCTCGATCTGGTGCCTCCGGAGAGGCACCAGAATCTCTCCAAGAAGGACATTTTCGCGCTTCTCTCTCGACCGTTACCTTTCGACGACGGCCATAAGGTGGGTGCTCTTCAGGTCAGTTTTTTTTTCGAAAATGAAATCAGGGTTCTCTGGTATGGAATTTAGGGTTTTTGTTATGTTTGGGGATGGGTTTGTTGGATGAAATTGATGGTGGAGGGTTTTACAGGAAGTGTGGCTGGACAGGGTCACGGGAAGGGTTTGCATGTCCATTTCGGCAAAAGCGATGGCAGTTACTGGGATTGATGACCGCAGATACTGGAATTGGATTCCCACTGAAGAATCTAGGTTAGATTCAGAGATCTTAACTTAGCAGCTTTAATTTACTTTCACATTAGATGCTGAAGATGGATGTGTTTGTTATTGTTACGTAACCCATTGGGAAGGGAAGTGTATAAGAGATTTTAGTAATGAATTTGCTTCCCTTCCTTTAAATAGATAAGGGAGGGTTTTGGAGGATTACGTGATAATCCCTCATTTTCACCCTTTGTTTTTTTTTTTTTTAATAAAAAAAACTCCCAAATAAGTGGAATGTGTACTTAAAAGCATAGTTGTCAATAGCAGCTAGCGGCCAGTAGCGGCCGACCCCGAAAATGGTATAGCGGTGTAGCGGGTAGCTGTATTACCGCTACGGTGAAGTATTAATTCCATATATATTATACTAACAGTCAAGAAACAAGGCAATACCGCTTTTAGTATTAATGCCCAAACATAAGAAGTCACACAAAATCAAACACATAATTCCACAATCAATGTCAAATACAAGGAACATAAAGGAAGGATCCAAAATTAAACACAACTGAACAATAGAATTGTCAAATAGCCAAGTACAAGAAGTGAACTAATAAAGAAAATCATCATCATCTTCGGATTCTCCATCAAATTCCAACATGGGGAGTGGTGTAGCGGGGTAGCGGGTAGAGGTATTGCTACTATGCTACGCCGCTACCTTCCGCTACGGCCAATGTCGCGTAGCGTCGCAGTTTGTAGCGGCCGATCGCAGCTACCCGCTACAGTAGCGGTTTAGCGGCGCTACGGGCCGCTACTGACAACCTAGCTTAAAAGTTCAAACCTTCCCTTCCCATCTTTTCGGCACTTGTCCTCCGTCTAAACATTCCCTAAAATGATGTTAGAAAATATGCTTTTTCTTATATTTGAAGTTAAAGTTTACACGTGCGTGCACACAAACACACACTCCCTTACGTGCTTCAATTAAGCACTTTGTAATATAGTAAAATATAATTGATTGCTGGCTTTTCATGAATGTGTGTTAAACTGATTGTGCATTGGAAGAACATCATCTATTTTGGTGCTTATTTGACATCTTTTGTAGGACAATGTGTAATTATTGAAATAGAATTATTCTTTATATATTTATGTGGCTTTAATCATGATATACGATAATTAGGAAATGTTTAGTTTGTGCATGATTACCGGACCAGATTCTGAAAAAAAAAGAAAAGGAAAAAGGGAAAAGTTTCTGTTGTGTCATGATGTAATGGAAGTTGTTTTGGATACTAGATGAGCTTTAGGGAATCAAAGCCGCTGAGATGCGATCTCAGATGCATTTATCTTGCTTTCAATCTTAGGTATTCTTTGCTCTGCTACAAATTTTATATTTCTTTTGTTGTTTTGATTTTGTACTTGTACTTGCCACTCTATAAAGTTTATTGTGAAAATGGGCCTTTGTTGGGAGTGCTGAAATTGAATTATAAATCAGAATACTGGAAGGTAAGAATGTTATGTTGGTTTTCCATGAGTTCTCGAATAATGGGGTAAGGTTGGTGGAGGAGGATGTTCAGCAGGTTTATCTTTTTCAGCTTGGCCTTAGATCAAGTGTGTTTTATAAATATAAAGAGTAGGAGATGGATTACTAACTTTACCTATGCTTGGAGTAGAAAATAGGAAGTTGGTGATTTCCTGCTGCTTCACCAGGCACGGAAGTCTCTAGCAGCACATGAAATCATAAATAATATTGTAGACAGCTCCATGATGTCAAATTCGTTGGCTTTAATATTAGATTTATGTGGTTCAAAAATGCCTAAAGCTTTGTTTTTCCTGGCTATAGTTCATTGCTAGTGATTAACACAACTACCAAACCCATCCAGTCAACTACCTGTTTGACTGTTAGAAGGACGTGTGATTTTGAGTGCCATCTTCCTTAAATAGTACTGTTGATGTTGAATATTGGAAGGATAAATGATAAAATGTTTGACTGACCTTTCTTGGAATTCTCTCCCTATGAACTGAAGATCTGTTTGTCATATCTAAGCATTGGCTGTGAATCCTAGATCATTATCATGGAGGCCAATATGCCAATCATACCAGTTCAAGTTAAAAGTCAAAGATGCTATCTGAAAAAGCCCTGGTTGCGTTTGTTGGGTTACTAAACTTGCAGTTCATTTCACATATTAAAGTGGGTTTTATTTGATCTAGAGACTTGAGATTAACTGTGCGTACTCGAAGTTGTATGTTGATCTGACAAGAACTTCTCTTATGTTAATTTGTAATTCTGCATTTAAGTTAGCAATGTCATTATACACATGGATGGCGCCTTGTAGTCCTTGGGGAAGATCCCCCTCAAATTTCATATAATTCTTATTTTTCAATGGCAAAATTTTAATTTGGCCCCCTAGCCATTGCAATCAAGCTCCACCCCTGATCATACACTTTAAGGTACTTGTTTGCTGCAGTTTCCCTGAACGAGCTTTGTATGTATGAGTGAAATCATGAAAAGAGCTTTTATCCTGGTTATGCGTTCAATGTGATTGATATTTGATAGTGCAACTTCTAAAACCACCTATTTGTTAAATATTCCATTCAGTCATTAACTCTCATTTTAATATCCAAATTCTGTTGATCTAACATCAGGTTTTTAAATTGTGCACACAATTTGCTTATCGGTTTCATTGTTGTGTCATGTCAGATTGGCTTTCCTTGTATGTTTTAATTGCTTTATGCTTCTCTTTTTGAGAAAGTGAAACTGTATACATTTTCTTTTTTATTGTATCCTGACTAATTTATCTAGCTAATGAGTGTTGATATTTAACTTGAAGAAATAGGATAATATTTCTATGATGTCAAATGCATTAGGGTCAAATATAAGATTATATGCTAGTTTGTAGATTATTACTTGGTGATCATGTATTGGTGTTTACTTCCTGATGTTCTATGTTCTTTGCTTTTAAATGCTCCCCTTTTAAAGTTGTAAAACCTTATATGTAGTGGGGATGTTAAATTGTTGGGTGATGCTTGGTTTAATTTTGTATTTAAACATGTACAAGAACGACTTAAAGCAATTCATAAAACTACTTAATTGGATCGTGCTGATCTCCCTCTTCGAGCCAAACTAAATGACATAGTGATCTCAGGTTAGTTCCTTAGTTTGGGCTCTTTTATTTGGCCTGTGTCAAATGTAAAACTCATCAGAATTATATGGACTACTTGGCAGCCCTATTACTATGTTCTTTTATTCATGCAAATACTTCCTCGGCTAAATTCTAGCATTATTTTACACCAAAAAGAAATCTATTATTGAATATATGAAAGCTACATTTGTGCTTAAAAGAAAACATATCAATGCATCATAAACTCATAATTCAAACGCATGTGAAAACAATTTGAACTGTATACTTCTGTACTTAGGAATACATTCTATAATCTGGATGAGGACAAATTTTTGCTGTTTTTTTTTTTTTTTTTGGATAAACCATTGGTATCCTCCACGGGAGGCATTTTAATTATTTGTGACTTGGGATGATGTTTCTCAAGTATATTTGTATTTGGTTCCAATTAGATTGGTTCACCACATTTTGCATCTTTGAACTCAAGTTCAACTGTCCATTGAAATACTCAACCTGATTGAACCAAACTAGCCATTCTATTAATGAAGCCAATGTACCAGAGGTTAGTTTGCACAACCTAGATTAGTTTATGGATGCCTCTAATTCTCAAAGTCACATCTTAAATAATGTTAATTTACTGCTTATATTTTATTGGTATTTCTTTTTGCAAATTATAGCACTCGTACAAATCATGGTGTTGAAGCTGCTTTGTTTTCCTTTTGTTGTTGTAATCTGTCAGCATTCTGTTACACCTTAGACGATTTTCAGGTTCAACACTGTGGCATATTTGCAGCAAATATGGTGGTTTGAAGTGGATGGGGAGGTAAAGTTTCCATTTCCTGCTGATATTTATACTCTCTCCTTTAGGCTTCACCTTGGACGGTTTTCCAAAAGGCTTGGACGGCGTGTATGCAATTACGAACACACCCATGGTTGGGATATAAAACCTGTGAAATTTGAGTTGTCGACTTCAGATGGTCAGCGGGCATCCTGTGAATGCTGTTTGGATGAAACTGAGCTTGATAATGGATATGGAAATCATAAGCGTGGATACTGGGTAGATTACAAGGTAGGTGAGTTTGTTGTCCGTGGATCAGAACCTACAACTGAAGTTAGATTCTCCATGAAACAGATTGATTGTACACATTCCAAAGGTGGGCTTTGTGTAGATTCTGTATTTATCATACCTAGTGATTTGAGAGACCGAAAGAGAAGAGGCATTTTGAAATAGCCACATGCAGAATAGGAAGTTTGTTTATTTAGTGATGTTAGACATCTCAGAATACTCTGTTGGGATCTATCATACAGGTTATACTTAATGAACAAAATTGATAATTGGGAGAATGTCATGTGTTGCTGGGTTTTTTTTTGGCAGTAGGCATGTTGTAATCATTTTTATGTATTTAGTTGTTTCCTTGTTCTATACCGTTGCCGGATGAAATTGTTTTCAAAAAAAAAAAATTGTTAGCTGAAGTTATTTTTATTATTTAGTATTTTCCACGTTTTATTATTAATTTTTTGTTCTATACCTAAAGTTTCAAGACATTGACGTGGTCATAGAAAATAGATCATTTGTTGTAAATTTCACGTCCCATTTATTTGATGTTTGTAAAGAGATTTTTCTCATCATGTCATCTTAAAACAAGAGATGAGATGATGCATCATGGGAAATTTATACATTGATGTGAAATTTAGGTATGAAAAGATTCACTCTCGTCGATCATATATGAAGTCAAGACGATATAAAGACAAGATGAGTTATGGTCGTAATTACATATACACTTTTTGTACGAAGATATAAAGAATTGATAGTATAAATAAATATTTATGTATGTGGTGATGATGGTAGGATAGAAGTTATAGTAGGATCCCTAATAAAAGGCGATGAAGGTGGTTAGTTACGGGATTTTTTTATTTTTTTTATTTTTTTGTAATGGGTGTGTTTTGTAAGGTGAGACTGAAGTTGCTATATATAGGGTAGAAAATCATTGTAAGGGCATCTGAGATATTTTGGGACTTCGGGCATTGAGAGAGTTCAGGGGTTCTCTAATTCTCTTGGATTTATCTTCTTTTTTCTTCTTCTTCATCTTTTGCTATTTTCTCTTTGTAAGGTGCCATTGTTGTAAGTTTGATTGTAATCTTTCATTGTTTAATTAATATATATCTGTAGTTTCATTTCTTTGTTGTTTCTTTTACTAAATCTGTCATTTGTATTCTATCAGAGTTATATTACAATTGTGGACCGAAATTTAAATAAAGTAGGGTAGGGATAACAGTTCTCTTATTTCTACACTTTGAAATGCTAAGCTTGAAGCCACTGGTGCAGTGGTAAGGAATTTGAATAATTTGTATTAGGTTATGGTTTTATACTTTTCATGTAATATAAGAAAAGAAATTTTTCTACGTATCATTCGATTTCCGTGCTGATATAGATTTCACTTATGACTTTTTTTAATATATGAGTTTTACATGTTTTTTGTCTCTATGACATAAGAAGTTCCTTCTCATATAACATGAGAAATGTTACTCCCTTGCGTTATATATTCAATTCATGCTATTGTATTAAAAAAAATATGCTAGGCTTCCCTGCAGCAGTTAACTATGAATTAATTATTAGGTAAGACATTAAGTTATTAGCTTTTCAGTTAATCATACATGTTTATTGACTATCATTAACTAGTGCTGGTCGGGTATAAGATTTCAACCTATGGTTTTGAAACTAGGCCGGTCAGTTAAACTAACTTTGTATTCAAATTAAACCTGACCCGGACATTGACCTGGTTGAGTACTGGGTTATTGGTCGGACCGGTGGGTCACTGGTCGGACCGGTTAACCCGGATATATATAGATATATAAAAATATGAACATATAAATTCAATTATATTCTTCATATCTAAAATGAATTAAACAAGTTTCATTAAATAAGTTCAAAAACATGAAGTATAAATAAATAAAAATGCATACTATTGCTATGTCAATTTAAATTGCAACTCAAAATCTCCATAAACATAGACATTGAACTCATATTTTTTCAAATTCAACTACATTAAAAATGACATATGTCACATTCTCTTAATTTATTATTTCGCAAATTGCTTTAGTATTGGAAGTTGAAATCTGAGGTCATTGTAGAAGAGTATACTAGCAAATAAAATTACAAAAAGTTCTTAAAATGAGTTATACATTTTTTTTGGCAAGATGAAACAATTTTAGTTTTTTAGTTTTTTTTTTAAATGCATGACCCGTCTGGGTCACTGGGTCACCGGGTCACAGGTTTTGACTGGGTTTGGCCGGAATTTGACTGGGTTAATGCATAACCGGTCCAATGACTGGATTGTCGGGTTCCGGATCAACCTGGCCAGGTCGAGTTTTACAACTATGATTCAAACTCTGTTTTAAACTTGTTAGATCATGAATTGACTATAATTTTTTATTCAAATATTATGATCACAATTTAATTATAAATCAATTTTTTACCCAAAAAGAAATTATAAATTAATTAATTAAATTACTTGATCCTTGACCTTTAACTGTAAAGTACAGGTTCAACCATTAGTTCAATTTATAAAACATAGATTTCAAATGCAAAATACACATTTTTGGTAATAAATAAATAAATAAATCTGTTTTATTTAATTTGATCTTGATCTACTGTTTTTTTTATTTTTATTTTTTTTTTTGTAATTTTGTTTAGTAATATTTTGTTCGACATGGCTAAATAAATATTTTTTCAATTTGGGATAATAATGAAAAAAATGTCTTATTCAAATGTGTTACGGAAAACACCTTAGAGTTGTATCAACGTTTTCGATTGATTAACCAATTCCGAAGAATTTGACAGCTTGGGTAAATTAAATAATGCTAAGGGGACAAAATTGGAAGGAAAATGTGTAAGGACTAGGGACATTTATCAAAACCATCCATCAACATATAACATTTATAAATGTCAGCTTGGGTTGGATTTATTTGAGTAAAGATCATAAACAGTAAAAAAAGATAATGGGAAGAAGACCTTCAACATTCTATGCTTTTAGCTATACTTTTTTTGGCAACAGTTAAGGTAGATTGGTAAAATAAAATCGACCAGTGGATCTCATAATAATATAGGATAAAAAAAAGTAAATTAGATGGATGACTGGGATTGTAAACCTACTACCTGATGAGTAGAGCCGGCAAAACGAGCTCAGCTCGGTGGGCCAACCTGCCCAACCCGCCAAACAGGGCGGGGCGGACTGAGTTTTTCAACCCATCTCAAAAGCAGGATGGGGCGGGGCAGACTCATTTTTTTGGCGGGTTGATGGCGAACATAGGCGGGCCGAGGCTAGTCAGTGTAAAATAGGCTCGGGCTGGCGGGCCAACCCGCCAAACGGGGCGGGGCAGGGCAGGTTGAGTTTTTCAACCACTTTAAAAAACGGGACGGAGCGGGCCTCATTTTTTGACGGGTTGATAGCGGGGTGGGATGGGGCAGAGCGGATCGCCCACTTTGCCACCTCTACTGATGAGTATGGATAAATTAACATAACAAATTGGTATATAAAAAGGATTATTTTGAGAAAAATATTTACAAAAATGGACCCAATGTAGTAACTGCTAAGGCATCCCTGACAAGGTAACTTGACCCAGCAATGCTTTTGAATGGCAACTGCAATTTCCACCATCTTAAATGCTGGGGGCGCAGTAGGCTCAAAATCATTTTGGGGACCATTCACAAAGTAGAATAAAGGCTTTGCTTCTTTAACAATTGCTGCTTGACTTAGTGTTTTTCAGGGATGTGGTACCAGTGCCAAAACTCTCTCTCCCTCTTGAAGAACATGAGATCTGATGTGTCACGAGATTTTGATGGAGCTAAGTAAAATTTTCTGATGGTGCTATAGGAGAAAAACTTCAATGAACCGACCGAATTCAGTGTTCTTTTTTATTAAAAAAGAATTATTTTTAGAATTTAAAAGAAATATATAAAAAAAAGGAAAAAATGTATGTTATTTTAAAGAGGTAAAATTGTGTCATTTTAAGATAGAGAAAGAGATAGATAAAGAAGGAGAGAGTTGACAAAAAAAAATAAAGGTGTGAGTCCCACATCTTTGTAAAAGTGAAAGAATATAAGTTGTGTCATTTAAAAGTATAAACACTTTTTCCATAAGAAAATAGTTAAAAAAGAATCCCCCCTCCCTTTTTTTTAATGAAAGGGAATATCGAATTCGATGGTTCCGATACATTACGATTTTCCAGTATTACATATTTAATCTTTGATGATGGTTAATGGGGTTTGTCAAAAAGTTTCAAAAGAGTAAAATGAAGTCTTCAATACATACTGAACTAAATTATAAATAGATCAATAGAAATTTCCAAAAAATAAATAAATAAATTAATAGATTATTTTATAAATGCTCAATACTTATTATAATAGATAAATTCTAGGACGACTACATTTAAAAGCCACTTAACTTTTATTTTTTTCTTTCGTTAACTTTTAACTTCTTCTTTTTTATATGCATGAACTCTTTAACTTTTTTACTATCACTCGTATCTTACTATTTAGCCCTACTGTAAATGACACTCAACAACTCAACGAGTGTAATTCATTGGTAATATATAGGTTGAGCAGGTGAAAAGAAAATTTGAGTTTGATTTCATTAAATACTTCTTTAGAAAGAAAAGAAAAACTTTAAGTATAACTATAACTCGATAGTTGATTCAAAGAGTTAAAATTTATGAGAATATTCAAAATTAACTCGTTTCAAAAAAATAATTAAGTTCATTAAAAAAAGAGAGTAATTTCACTATACTTGAAGAATTTTATTATTCTCATTCTAGGCACTCTAACAAAAACATATTTTTTCATTTATGGTTATTTACCTTCATTAATTTTTGAACGTCTCGGGTAAAAGGACCAATGCTTTTACTTGTTTTTATAAAAGTAAAGCTATTCTGACACTACTTACACACCTATACACGTCATAGCATTTGATTTTTAATACATTCACTCTAAATCCATGGGAACTTTTACCACGTAGATCAAATATCTGCACCCTTACTTCGTCTTTTCTCTTTCCGTCCGCTTATAAAACAAGAGTAACTACAAAAATAGCATAGAACCATAGAAACATTGCTTATTGTACTTATCGAGCATAGGAGGAGTCATCAACTGCCTAAAAAAATAGAAAATTTATTGGAGGTAGGATATTTCTACTACTACTCCACTACCACTTTAATTACCATTGGATTCAAAAATTATTTTTTTTTTCTCTCTTTATTCAACTTTTCCTTTAATTAAATGGTGATTAAAGTGGTAGTAGAGTGGTAGTAGAAAAAATAAGTAGTTAGAATATCCTAACTCAATTTATTGAAAAAAAAATTAAGATTTGAAAAAGAAAAATCTCTATTCTCAATTTTGATTATTAAAATAATAAAAAATTCAACCACTAGTAGATAAGGATTTTATATTGGTGTCAAAATAATTTCAAAATGCAATTAAAATAAATAAAATAAAATAAAATAATAATATTATTGCAAAAAATAAAAATAGAAATTTAAAAATCCAAAAATAATATACTCATGCACATGGACACACAATTTTAAATCAACCCTAGTCATTTCACTCTACTTAATACTTAATTTTCTATAAGGGTGTAAATGGACAAGTTGGATGGTGTGATTTATAATTTAAGTTTTCTAGAATTTGTAGAAAATTCATGAATAAAATTTTCTTAAAATTCTAGAATTTCGAGTAATTTGTTTAATAACTTCTCAATTGGTTCTCACATGTGGATAGGATTTAGTGGTTTCCGTTACCCGGTTCTTCTCAACATGTCCTATTAAGCATGTGATGTTCTTGTCATGAGAGTTGAGACACGAATAAAAGAAAACAACTTTAAACAATGCACAAGTAGAACTTGGATGCACCTTTGTCTCATCTATCTCTTTCACCATTTCTCATTGCTTCCAACCTTCTGCTTTTATTTCTAGCAAGGTACAACAAAAACAGAGTCCAATCTGTTAACATAGCTACCACACAAACACACAATGAATTGCATTTGCATATCAAATTTCAAATATTTTAAACCCAACCCATATCCCAATTTTATGCAAGCTAAGCACAGAAAAATCTAGAGACAAGAGAGGTGAAAGAGTGAGATTGTATCAGCTTTCTTCTCTGCAACACTGCATCGTTATAATTAAGGTGAAAGGGAGAGGAGGTTGAAAGAACAGAGATGAGCCCCAAGTTCTGTTTTCTTTACCTTCCTTTATTTGTCTCATGTGATGGATGCAGTGGTGGCAGGTTTTGTGTACTGGTCACCCTCTTTTGAAGCCAAATGAGTAGTTTTCCTATGTTGGTATTTTTTTTTTTTTTTTTGGAGTTAATCCAATCTCAATTACGAGTTGGCTCTTTCTGATATCTCCATAAATTTTGATTCTTTGAGCCGACTATGAGATTAATTTAGAGTGCAGGACGGGTCAGATATAAAGATATTTAAACCCCTCTCAAAAATAACATATGTGAATCGAACCAAAGTCTTTTCATTTCCAATTATTTAGCTCCTTGCTACCAACTCAGCTACCACCATTTGTTATTCCTATTAAATTGACTCCTTGAAACTCATTTTACCTATGCCCATATGATTCATTTTGTGGATTCCCTTGCCACAGTTTTTGTCCAAGAGAAAGAATTAGTACTGCCCTATAATATTGACGACTCATTGCATTACCTTAGAAAAGATGGTAACACATCTAAGTATATTTATCCTACTCATTTTTTCTTATGGTCAATGTCACATACTTATTTTTATTTTAAGAAATATGCACTAGTGAGTAGTAAAGATTGAATCCAATTTTGGGGGATTGCAGCACAATGAGAAAGGAAGACTAAAAGAGTGGATTCAGAGGTCAATGATAAAAAAAAAAAATGGTCCCCGGTGAAGGTTGCCTAGGGGGCAACTGACATTTTTGCATTCCCTTTTTCACGCCTTGTCCTTACCGCTCCTCTTTCTCTGGTACTGTCTCTGCATTAAACACAAAACTTTGTTGCGCCCCAAAAGTGGAGTAGGAAGTAGCTCACAAAATTCACAAGTCTTTGTGACACTCTCTCTCATTCCTCACTTCCCCTTGCACCCAAAAAGAGAGGAATAGAACCTTTCCCCCACTCAGAACTCTAGTGCCACGCCTCACTAGCACACTTAAACACTACTTAGACTAAGCTTCACACACCTCTGACCTCTCTCTATCTTCTCATCACTGCCTTTGTGGTCCATCATATTCCTCACCCAGTGAGGACCATATAAAGACAGATAAATTTTTGGGGCTTGAATTGAAGGTAAAGAAGAAACAAGAAAGTGAAGACAGATATGGAGTGGAATGGGAGCACAAGAGGGTTTGTTCCTAGAGAAGAGTCTTCCTTAAGCTTCATCTACAACTATAACTACAACCCATATCCAGGTAAAAGAACAAGATCAAAACACTTAGTATTTAATTAACTTGAATTTCATCAAGTTGCTTTTCTTTTTGAATCCTCATATAGTTTACTTAATCGTTGGAAGCTATTAACTTCTAGCATGTAACTTAATAACCCCTTTACATTTGTGGACTATTTCCAATGTTCATTTTTGTAAGTTTTCACATGAATAGTAACTTGAAGCACAAGCAATTGCCCCACCATAATTATTGCTTTTCTTGAAAAAGTCATATACGAAGTAGGTATTTTTGTTAAAAGTATGTTTCAAAACCACATGTCATGCATATGATATTCGAACATGGTGAGAACTCTTCACTGAACCCTTTCTATGTGTTAAGGAATGGAAGTGAAACAACAAGCATTGTCCGAGACACCTCCAGCAATAATGGAAAAAATGAACTGTGGGAACTATGAGAAGAAGAAGCGACTAACAAGTGAGCAACTTGACTCACTGGAGAGTAGTTTCCAGAAGGAGATAAAGTTGGACCATGATAGGAAGATGAAGCTTTCCAAAGAGTTAGGGCTCCAGCCTCGCCAGATTGCTGTTTGGTTCCAAAATAGACGTGCAAGGTGGAAAACCAAGCAACTTGAACACTTGTACGATTCACTTAAACAGGAATTTGATGTCATATGCAAAGAAAAACAGAAGCTTCAGGGAGAGGTAGGTTAACACACACATATATATATATATATATGACTGCACAGTACTCTCTCCCCATGTAGCTCTTGCAAGTTGCACTTATAGACACAATTTACGGAAGTAGATCCTCCTCGAATGTGATATGAGTTTATATGAGATAAAGGGTAAAGGGAAAATCTTGGTGCATATAAGACTCCCCAAATTTTTGGTACGGGTGAGGGTCAATTATATGTCGTGTTATCTTTATATTTTTGCAAAGAGACTGTTTCCATATTCGAACCTATAACTTTCTAGTCACTGGTGGTTATCTTACTTGCTGCTCCAAAACTCGTCATCAAATTTTTTTAAGGGAGTACATGTGGGGGTTAGAACCCATGATCCCAGAGCCATTGATATGAGTTCATGTGAGATAATCTAGAGAAATCATTTTCTCACTCTCATAAGGCACTCTTCCTTGATTTAACTTCAAATGACCTCATGTCACGTGATAGAGGATCGCATTTTACATTTGTTTGAACTATTATGTATGTGTTTTACTTCTAAATGTTTTTGCTTTTAAAATCCATAACACTGCAATATCTTTTATGTTTATATAAAAGTTTTGAACATAATGGTCTTCTGCTTCTTGTTACCAAAAGTACTGTTTTCATTTTGCTTATTCTTGGCGTGTTGGTGCAATATATGTTGAAGTGTGAACTAGATATTCCCCCAAACTAGTTAATTCCTTTAGCTTGTGTGACTGTGCAGGTTATGCAGTTGCAGGCTATGCTGAGAGACCAAGCTTCGAGAACACAAGTATCAACAGGATATACAGAAATCTCTGGAGAAGAAACAGTAGAAAGCACATCAGAGGCTCTGCGTTGCTCCAACAAGTCACATGGAACGCTTCATCATCAGCAGATTATTGAAGAGGGAATCTGTTCTTTCACTTTGGAGGATTATAACACAGTTCCTGTAATATTGCCTAACTGGCCTGCTGGTGTTCCTTATTATCCTTAATCTGCTAGGAGTTTAATGTGTTTGAACTTTGAAGAACTTTTTTATGTGAGTGAGCTTAATTAACTCCATTGGTTAGATATATAGATGTAAAACCCTTTTCCTTAGGAACTGACATTAGGATCCAAAGAGACATGCATGCATATTACTGACCCTAGGATTGGACATATTCAAAGGGTGGTTCGATTATAAGAAAATTTTCTCCTATACTCACAATACATGAGTGGGTCCCATCTTGACTTTTTTGTGGACCCCACTCATGAATTGTGAGTGTAACATGAGAAAATTTTCTCATGTAAAATGAGAATATATGGGAATTAATTTTCGTATTTTGCATAAGATAAGAGTAATGTTCCTACTCTCACAAAAGGAAGAGAGAGGAGAGAGAATAGGAAAAAGAGAAAAATTTTAAAGTGGATCTCACGTAAGATTTGTTTGTGTAGGAGGATTGTTTTATCTTATGTAATATAAGAAAAACAACCCCCTATATATATATATATATATAAATATATATGTATATGGAGAAAATTATATTTACAAACTCTTAGGGTGTGCATGACAACTTTCTCGGAATCAATTTTTTTTTAATTTCTGTTCCCGGGAACAGAAATGGATAGGAAACTCGTTTGATAAAATCGGTTTATTTTTTTGTTCCTGGGATGAACCAGTTTATTTTTTGTGCTGGGGAACAGAAAAAAGAATCAAAAAAATTCTGCTTATTTGATTCTGGGCACAGAATGAGAAACACTTATCTCTCTCAATTACTCTTCACCACTACCATCATCACCACCGCCACCACCATCCTGACACGACCACCGCTACCATCATCGTACCATCACCACCACCTCCACGTCACCACCACTGTCATTACCACCACCACCACCACCACCACCACCATTATTACCATCACCATCACTATCACCACCACCACCACCATCATTGTAGCCATTGCCATCACCACCATCACGCTACCACTACTACCGCCATCGCAGCTGCCGCAACCACCACTACTGCCACCACCATCGCCACCATTATCACCATCATCGTTGCGGCCACTGCTGTCACCGCCACCATTACCATCATCGTCACCATTACCATCATCATCGCCATCACCGCCACCATCACCGCCACCATCACCGTAGCTACTACTGTCACCACCACCATTACCACCGTCGCTTACGCTGCTACCATGTCATCACCACTATTGCCATCGCCGCCACCACCATTACCACCACCATGCCATCACCTCCACCACCACATCCATGACACCACCACAACGCCACTACTACAACCATCGCTGCCGCCGCCACCACCACCATCACCACTGCACCATATGAAAAAGAAAGTGATGATCCGAAAAAAATTTATGCTTAATAGAAATGATTATTAATTATATTATTTGTTGTGTTATCAAACGCAATTCTCATTCTCGGAATAAAAATAAAACATTTATCAAACACATTTTTTTTCTCATAAATTGTTCGAAGGCACAGAAATCGAAAAGAATTGTTTCTTTTCAGAAACAGTGCCAGTGAACAGAATGGTTGCCATGCACACCCTTACAAACTACATGAAGTATGACCGGTCATACTTCAATCTTACAAACTCTTACAAATTACACTAAGAATGACCGGTCATACTTCAATCAAGAGTGTATGACTGGTCATACTTAGTGTAATTTGTAAAAAAAATTTATAAATGCATCATTTCCATATATATAAAAAATTAACTCCTTGATGATAATTTCATAATAACATGTATACGTATATGCAAGGAAATCCAATCTTCTTTGCTGAGAAGGACTCTATTATAGTATGGTCTATGGACGCAGTAAATTAATCCAGACCTTACCGAAATTAAAAAAGTTAAATTAACTTCGAGAATTACTCTGAATATTTGAAAATTGGGTTTTTTTTTTTTTTAAATGAAAAAGTAAACCAAGCTGTAATTTTCTATTCAAATAAGAGCTGTCAAAAAGCCCATCTCATTAGGCTTTAATTGTGTAGGTTAGGGTTAATTGGGCCAAATGAACTCAATAATAAAAGTCGCATGGGTTATGAGTTAGGACTAGTTACTGGGTCATCTAAAATTATAATTTCAGCTGGAAAGGCTGTGCAGATCCTATTGTCCCCTCCCGTGGGGTGTAGGAATTTACTTAGTAAGGATAGTTTGAGTGCTGGAACCCATAGAGTAGCGTTGTAACCTTTGTTGTATTGCTGTTATTCAAAAAAAAAAAAAAAAAAATTATAATTTCATAATTCTTTTTTATATTTAATATATTAAAAAATATTTTAAGAAATAATCATTTAACGCTTATAAATTATCTCTGAATACTTGATGAAAAACATCCAGCTTGACAGTCTAAGACAGTGAGGCCTCAACAGACTTGCACACCACCGAAGACATAGCTAGCCTGTCATTTGCATGCCCTATTGCCCCCACAATATAGCTATCTAACTTCATATTTGAACACCAGGTAGGAAGCTCCAGAATTCATCCTCTAAAAGCTGCCCTCGGGTCATAACATTATTGCCAATAGATCTGTCAAAAAACATGTAAGGCCAAATGAGTTTTAATAATAAAAGTTTGCATGGGCTAAAAGCCCTATATATTAGGGTCATCTAAAATTATAATTCTATAATTTTTTTTATCATATTCAATATATTAAAAAATACGTTAACAATTAAATATCTAATACTTTCTTTACATATTTTATACAAATTTTAATTTTTTTATAATTTAATTTTTTTAACAAAATAATATTTGTACACAAATATATAGATTAAAATATAAACGAAATTTTAATATAAGTGAAAATTTTAGTTACTAGCTTTACTAAATTTATTATTAAAGGATGTCATCAAATAAAGATTTTCTCACCAAGAGTCATAACAGAATACAACAATTCTAGTGAAAAACTAAAAGTAACGATGGAAAAATGATCTTAATACCAATATTGAATAACTGCTCTTTTGTATGCTATATAATTGAAAGTAAAACCATTGATTTCCTTCCACGTCTATTACTGTTACAAAAAAAAATAGTTATTATTATCCAACATATTATTAAGGTGCATTGTATACAATATGTTGCAATATAAATTTGGATATATAACATGCTTAAATGTCAATAGGAAATTTTATTTTTATTTATGCGCAGATGAAATTCTCTATTGAAACATATCACTGCTAAAAAATTTATTTTTGTTGTAAAATATTATGAATGACCTTTCACATGGTTCATAACATATGACTATTTATTTTTCATGACATTTGATGTATTCTACAACCATCACACTAATGATGCGTTGAATTGTAAAATACATCTAAGTGGAAGTATTGTAAAATATTATGAATGACCTTTTACACGGTTGATAACATGTGACTATTTGTTTTTCATGACCTACAACTATCACATTAGTGGTGTGTTGAATTGTAATTACTCCCCTGATTAATGTTTAGAGTCCTATATAAGCACATATCTTAGATGGACAAAGTAGTACTTGTTGAATTCAAAATATAATAATATTCCTTACCTTTAAGAGCTCATACTCGCTCTTATAATTATTCTTACTCTGATTTTCTTTGGGAAAACTTCAAAAATTTCCTATGAGTTTTCTCAATTATCCTTCACCCCCTCACAAATTTTTTGAATCATTTATATTCTTATTTAAATTTTTTTTATCACTTACCCCCTTGACTTAAAGTTTTTTTTATCACTTAGGGGGATAAATGATAAAAAAAATTTAAATCAAGGGGGTAAATGATTCAAAATTTTGGGGAGGGGGTAAATGATTATGAGGAAAGTTATAGGAGAGTTTTTGAAGTTTTCCCATTTTCTTTCTACACTTCATTTTCTTTTCTTTCATATTTCACTTTCACATATATTCTCCATCAAATTCACAACAATTTTTACTTATATTATGTTAGCCCAAATCAACAAGTGATTTATGTAACATTTTTGCACTATATCTTGTGCGCACAAATATAATAGTTTGCCCCACATTCTCTCCTATTTCAAATATGTAATCTTTTATCACTTTAATCTTAGAGAGCTCATCACGATAATGCACTTTATATTTATACAGCATCTAAAGATAATTCTTCTTTCTACACAAAAAGTTTATTATGATCCTGCTTAACTATCCTCAAAACAAAATTCTTGACAATGTCAATGTATGTAGCAGAAAATAGAGGAACCTGTACATACACAAGTCAATCAAAATCTTCTTAGATAAGAAATTTTTTTGAAGAAAACAACTACATCACATAGAAGCAGACAAAACATTTGAAACACATACAAAGCAACCAATCTAGGTAAAAAGTTCATTTAAGTACATATGCAATGGTTCAGTTCATTCAACTGCGGATACAATGGTTCTGGTTCACAAAAATAACAACAAACAATTATAATTCCCTTCAACGTAGATTCAAATTACATTATACCAAACCATTAGCATCAAACAAATTAACATTCAATCTTCATATCTATGTAATATTATTTGATTGAGCATGATGTACTATGTAAAAAACTCTTCATACTTTTTTCTATTCTTATAAGATGAATGAATCGCTTTACTCTGTTTTAAATATCCTTCGTAAGTTGCATAAGGACCGCATGGGCCAAAAATCCTATGTGTTAGGACTAGCCACAGGCTATCCAAAATTATAATTTCATAAAAAAAATTTATCATATTCAATACATTAAAAATATGTTAACAAATAAATATTTAACACTTTCTTAACATATCTTATACAAATTATAAATTTTTTATAATTTATTTTTTTAGTAAAATAACATTTGTACACAAATATACAATAAAAATGTAAACAAATTTTTAATATAAGTGAAAATTTAATTACTACCTTTACTAAATTCATTATTAAAGGATGTTATCAAAAAAGATTTTCTCACCAGGAGTCATAACAGAATGCAACAACTCTAGTGGAAACTAAAAGTAACTATGGAAAGATGATCTTAATACTAGTATTGAATAACTGCTCTTAGTACATTATATATTTGAATGTAAAACCATTGATTTTCTAAAACTACTACCGTTACAAAAAAAACTTTTTAGTTATTATTATCCACAAAATTACTAAGATGCATTGTATACAATATGTTTCAATACAAATTTGGATATATAACATGCTTAAATGTCAATAGAAGATTTTATTTTTATTGATGTGTAGATGAAATTCTATGTTGAAATATATCAATGCTGAAAAATTCATTTTTGTTGTAAATATATTATAGATGACCTTTCACCTTGTTCATAACACGTGACTTTTTAATTTTTATAACTTTTGATGTATTCTATAACCATCACACATATTAGGACCCTATATGGTAAATCTTAATTAGAGATTTAATTTAAGGATTTAAATATCATAATTAGATCCAAAGCGTGATTTCGAGTATTTTGACAGTAATCATGACTAGGTCATGAACAATGCATTCTGCCGGATGATCTGCATGGTTGTGAATCAACCGGTAGAGTTTAGAATGAGTAAAATGAATTTAGAGACCTAATTTGGAAATTCTGATGCCAAATATGAGTTCAGAACAAAAAATTGTATAGTCTGGCACTTTCCATGAAAATCTCATTAATAATGTTTGGTAGGCCAAAATTTTTTCCGGGAATCTTGAGTTAATTTTAATGTTGTTGTGTGTTAATTTTTCTACCACATGAGAAAAAACAATTCCACCCCTTCAATAATAATCTTCTCCAACTATTTTACATAGAAAAGCAAATTATGGAAAAAAAAAATTCCCAACCATATTTTTACTTCACCTCTTACCAAACATAGACAAATAATTTTCCAACCTCATTTTCTTAGGAAATTTTTTTTCAACTCTTACCAAACATGTGATTGTGAGATTAAAAATTTGTAGTGTGTTCTCCTAAATTATTCTTAATCTCTTTTTTAGCTATAAAAAGAATGAAAGGACATATATAACTTTATGGGTATCTAATTTAGTGATAATAGATAACATGATTTATTTATGGGTTCGCCTCTTATGCAGCAATAGCATATGAAATTTTTTGTAGCAAACATATTTACACATGTGGATTCTGACATTTAAAAAGAAAGAAAAAAGTCAGGATCCGCATGCGTAAAATAAAATCAAGAACAAGCTTCGAAATAAAATAGAAGACCAATTTCTTGATGATTCTTTGATTACATACATTAAAAAAGAAATTGTTTTGAGTTTTAACACGGATTCAATTATATATGAGTTTAACAATAAGAAAATACGTAAAATAAGAGTCAAATGATGTGATCTTAATCTTTGTAATAGATTTCTTTTAATTTTTTTTATATTAGGTCTATATATATTTCAAATTTTTTTGTTTATAATATAATATTTTTTATTTTCGCCCCCTGTCATTAGAATTCATGCGTCCGCCACTGCAGATGAGGTGTCAAAAGATCCTACCTCTATATATATATATACCCACAAAATAATTAATTAATTAAAGTTATGCATATATGAGTTCAAACTCATTGGTTGCACTATGAATTTTCAATGTTAACACTCAATATGATATCTGCTATGCGATTGCATAAAGCGTATTAAAAAAAATAACAAAATGTACTTATTCATACATACATATGAAAATTAATCATCTCTTGTGGCGTAAGATTATGTAAAAAAAATCTGTTATTTAGATATAACTTGATGATTACTAATTTTTTACCCTTTATTGTAATATATTTTTTATCAATATTAAGTTGTATCTGGAATCCTCTCACAAGATCAATTTTTTTCCACAATTTGCAGGCTATAAAGAATAAATTACTTAAAACGATTTGGCTTTGGTGGTCTTCGCTGGCAAAGGGACAGAATCAACAAGAGAAGATGTCTTGTAATTATTCATAGAGGCCCCCAATGAGTGAACAATGATCCACTACAATCAGGCCTGCGGCCTACTAACTTGTAAGAGTGAATGATAAGTGATAACTTGCCAATTGAAACTAACCTCAAAATTCCTTACCAACAAAAGATAACATAATCCACTAGAAAAGAGGTTTAATGTTTATCATATTATAAAAAATAATTTTATCTCTTACATACATATAAAAGTGTGTGGGGCTCATGCGAAGAGAAAAGAGAGAAAAAAAAATATGGATCTCTCATACTTTTAGAAAATAAAATTATCTCCTACGACAAGAGAAAATTAATCCCAAAAAAAATACCATAAAATTTTGCAACATTTTATCAAAAAAAAAATTATATACAAAAACAGTAAAATACCACGACACCAAGAAGTTTTGCATCGCCCTTTAAGGTCTCTTGTATGCGAGAATAAAACTAGTGCCAAAATAAAATGACTAGTAACAAAAAAAAAATGTTATACTTACAACTTATTTTCGTTTACAACCTCTTACAACAATATCTTAACTGTTAATTTTCGTCAATCAACGATTATTATTTTCGCAAATCAAACTCATTAATTAATTTATAATTCACAATAAATAATAATCATTAATTGGTGAAAATCAACGGTTAAAATATGATTGTAAACAAAAAAAAATAAGTTATAACTTATAAGTATAATCTTCCTCGGAAGCAAATGAATTATAATTCTTGTAGGTAAAGATGACAAATCGGGAAACATTATTGCACAATGCCTATAGTCTCTAATATATGATAAGTCTTAGAGGCAGTAAGATTATTATTTTGTGATAACAATGTCATGGGTTTGTATATCTATTTGTAAAAAAAAATAAAAAATTTACAACAATAAGGTGGCATACAATCAATCCTTATAAGCATCATGCAACATATTAAAGAGAAAGACGTGAAAGTTTATATTAACATTATCATTATCTGCCCTAAAGTTATGGAAAGTTTAATGTCAGGCTCCAGAAAAATTTATGTATCCCTACATTTCCATCAGAACTTCGTGTATTCATCTAAGCCCTGACATAATTGTAGCTGCCGGTTTGGTCTATACATGCATTAAGGTAGATTGCTTTCATTTCCGGTTTCACACATCATATCAGAAACAATTTTATTTTATATTAAAATAATGATTTAAATGTTCGATTACTTTTGGTTATCTAATATGGCACATCCTAATATAATTGAACGGATCCAGTTGAATTGGATTATCTCTATGATGAAGGTGATTCTGTGTCGGTGACACTCCTCAGTGATAACTTATGAATTACAACAAAACAAACTTAATGGGTTACTCCTCCCATAATTAGATTTGAAATCCCAAATCCGCAAATTAACAACAAACGGTGCATGGCTGCATCCTCCATATACATAAGCCAGCGGATGGCATGTTCAAATGGGATTTGGGGGAACAGGGATTCCAACTCAATGAAGTTTAGAGTTCAACACCATGAGTTATCACAACATACGCACACTTACTAATGACCTTAGTTTGATGGCTTAGACATGAAGAAATTAAGAAACTAAATATGGTACAAACAAAACAATAACAATAGCAAGAATCATAGAAGAGAATTTGTGCCAACTTAAAATTAACTCTGCCGACAAAATCCATTCAATAACTAGATACTCTAAGCTCCAAACACAAGTTTCGATAGAACAGTAAAATAAAATATTAATAAAGCAAATAAAATATCATTAGAAAAGTTTCAAAACAACTCTATTTAAGTGCTAGCCCAAAAAGGAGAAACTAGAGATTCAGCGCTTCCCGCCGCCACCACCAAGCTTAGGACCTTTGGGTGCAGCAGCTTTGGGAAGATTGCCTTTGCCTTGTGATTTTTGTACCTTAGCCTGAACTTCTGCCTTCTTAGCCTTCTTCTCATCCTTTGTTTTCTTGACCCTTTCTTTAATTTCACTGCAAAAAATAACGACTTCAGATGGTGAGATATGGTAGCCATACTCGTAGAAAACCAAGTGCTGATTAAAATGGAGACTATGAAAAGTAGAAGATCTGTTGGGAATGGAACGGGGGACCCCAAAACCCTTTGTAAAGAATATCTCCAACAATGGGCCAAGCGACAAACTACAATAAGTGGTCCGACACCACATATCAACCCAAAACCTTAAAGCTATAGGTCTATGAGTCTTTTGCACTTATATGGTCCTCACTTGGTTCATGTTTAACTGATGTGGGACTTCATTATTACTACTAACACTTGAATTCTAACAAGATGTTATATTGTTAATGACAAAACCATAGAATAAGTAATAAAGAACTTTCAAAATAGAAGTAAAAACAAGAACACACCGAAGAGCAGCTTCCCTGGCAGCATCTCGAACCTCTGGCTTTTCAGTTCTTCTTTTCTGAATAACTTCCAAAGTAGCACCTACAATGGACCTAGAGTAAGGCCTTTTGGTAGCACGACGCCTCTTCTTCACAGCTTCTTGGGCAATGTCCTATGCAACAAGTCGGAACATATAAAATAACCAGTATGAAGGCAATCAAAACAGAGACAGACACAGGCATTGTGACTTCAAGCCACATTAACCTGTTTAAATGTGTGATAACCTGGCATAAGGTAAAATCAGAAGGACACACACCTTATGATCAAGTTCATTTGATGATCATTCTGATTTCACTAGCTAAGTATAAGATATTTATAATTTTTGTCAAATACAAATAACTTCAAGTAAGTATTCACCTTCTTGTGTTGCTTCCTATACATGGCAGTCCATGTGAGCTTCGATGGCTTCAATCGGTTGTGGAAGTAACGTTTGCATTTTGAGTTGGAAAACAGGAAGACCTGATCAATCAACAAACAGAAACCCTCACACAAGTAACCAATTATGAAAACACAGCAAACATCACATTCAGATCCCAGTAAAGCAAATATCATGCTGTAAAATTCAATGAGAGCCACATTGATGTCACCTGAGAATCACCACGAACAAATCTGATACCTTTCCCAGGGTATATTTTTGCCCCACTGAAACGGCAAAGTTCGGTCCTAACATGCCAAAATGAAATACCAGTGAGCAGGCTCATTGAGTCTAGATATTATAATTTGAAAATATAATTACTCATTTAATTCTTCACAATACAATGCTTAAACAAAAACTGCTTAATTTTTCCGGTTTTATAATATAGTCCAATAATGTCAAATTTCTAATAAATTACAATGACAATAATCCAAAACAGAAAACATTACCCCATTAAAGAAAACTAAAATTGGGTTATTCTAGCAGCAGTTAACATAAAAACGATCCAATCCAAACTCAAACAGATTCTAAAACCAAATTCATCAGTCAAAAAATGACAACGACACAGTCATCCACAAACAGAACGAAAAAACGACACGCCGCATGTTCGCATCCAAAGAAACTCATCACCAATACACATGTTAAAAAAACTCAAAGCGCTTGGTTGGTTGGAACATAAAGCATACATAAAATCACATTCGTAAAAAAGCATGAAAATAAAAATAAAATAGGAGATTTTCGAACAAAAGCACAGATCCTGATTTTGGAGAAAACGTACTTGAGAACCATGGTTACTGCTGCTGCTGTTGTTCCCCGATCTTCTTTTTGGTAGAAACCCTAAAAACCCAAACTTTGCTGAGACAACTATCTACACCTTAATCTCCATAAATAGCGTTATTAGAAAACCACGAAAGTGCCATCTTAGCTCGGCCCTTATCCATATGGGTTTTATCAAAACAGGTCCAATTTTACACTTTCTGGGCTTTAGTGTATAGAAGAGAGTGGTTTTTTGCTGGATAATTTGGGCTTCCGAATAGTCCCACAATAAGTACGTGAAGGAAAAGTTTGTGATTTCATCGGTTAAAGTTTTCATAATCCATTTTTTTTTAGTTTTCTCAATCAGTTTATCTTTGGGATTAATCGGGTTTGAGTACTATTAGACCCTATAAAGGAGGTGATTCTTCCAAAACTATTTTTTTTCATTCCCCAAACTCGAATACAAGACTATTGGTTAAGGAACACTAATGATATTTGGTACAAAACACTCTTGTAAAACCCGGCTCGACCCGGAATCCGGTGAACTGGTCATCAGACCTGTTTGGGTCAAGCATTGGACCGGTCATGCATCGACCCGGTCAAAATCTGGACAAAATTGGCCAAGCCCAGTGACTCGGTCGGGTCATGTATTTAAAAAAAAAAACCAAAATTGTTTCATCTCATAAAAAAAAATGTAAAACTCATTTTAAAAACTTTTTCTAATTTTATTTGCTAATATACTCTTCTACAATGATCTCCTAGTTTCGAATATTGAAGCAATTTGTGGAATAATAAATTATAGAACGTGACATATGTCATTTTAATGTAGTTGAATTTGAAAAATATGAGTTCAATGTCATTGAGATGTATGTTTATGGAGATTTTAAGTTGCAATTTAAATTGACATAGTAATAAAATGCATTTTTATTTATTTATGCTTCATATTTTTTTAGCTTATTTAGTGAACTTTGTTTAATTCATTTTAGATATGAAGAATATAATTGAATTTATATGTTATAGTTATATATATTTTTATATATCTATATATATCCGGGTCAACTGGTCCGACCAGTGACCCACCGATCCGACCAGTGACCCAATGACCCAGTACACCGACCGGGTCGATACCCGGGTCGGGCTTAACAACATTGGTACAAAGTCAATTTTCAACTCACGCATCTTTAGAAATAAATTATTTTAAAAAATGTTTATTTTTTCAAACAATTATCTGATTTTTATTTTTTTATTTTTTTTTATCAAAACCGGTTTGATTCAATTGTAGCATGGTTGGACTCATAATTAGGCGGTTATCTTAACATTAGGTTTTTTCACCCTTTTGTCCCTCATTAATTATTTAATAACAATTTTACCCCTTATTGCAAACTATCTACCAATCTGTCCCTCTTTAATCGATTAAATTGAATATTTAATCGATTAAATGGTCAAACGAAGAATTAATCGATTAAATATTCAACTTAATCGATTAAATCTTCCTCTTTATCAGAAGAACAACCTTATGCATGGGAGATTTAGTCGATTAAATAGGGAGATTTAATCGACTAAATCTTCAAGTCAACGATTTTTGCCTATTTTGACCATTTAATCGATTAAATTTTTGGCTTAATCGATTAAAGAGGGGCAGATTGATAGATAGTTCTGAATATGGAGAAAAATGGTTATTAAATAATTAATGAGGAGCAAAAGGGTGAAATAGCCTCATTTTCCACATTCTCAAAACTTTTTTGACTTAAAATTCTCTTGAACTTTAAAATAAGTTAATCCAAATATATTATTAAGTCTGAACATCATAATTACAAAATTAGAATTATTAGGTATTAATTATGAAATTTATGTTATCTGCTTATTCTGTTTTCGAATTTTATAACAAATTATAGAACTTATTGAGATATAATTTTTTAACAAGAATATACTTTTAGTAACTGGTTAATATGTACATAAACATTCGATTTAACTAAAAAAATACAAAAAATAGCTTGCATTATATTTATATAGATATAGATATATTTATTTATTTATTTGGTAATCACATTATATATATTTTAATTTAAGTTAAAAGGACACGCAGATGCAATTGATCACCAAATATTTTGGAAAATAACATTTTTTCAAATTTTTTAGTTAAAAGTTTTTAAACTTTAAAATAAACCAATTCAAACATATTATTAAATAGTATTAATAAAAAGGTTTTGAAATCGATTATTACTAAAAATTTACATTATTTATAAGTATTCAAAATTAGAAATATGTTCTGCTATTAAAATAATTGAACTTTTTTTTATCAAAGGTAAATAAATAAAAAATTTGAGATATTTTAAAAAGAAAAGTATACAACAAGTTATTAAAAAACTCAATAATGTAATACTAAAAAAAAACCATGAAATTTAAAAAAAAAAGCTGTGAAAATTATTTTAAAAATAGGATAAGATATTATACCTACCCTTATTATATCTACTTTACTTATCATATGCTTAATCGACTTTCTCTCTTTGTCTCTCCTCTCATGGTTAATTGAAATTGTAATATAATATCTTATTCCTTAAAAAATAAGAACAAACATAAATTTAATGAACAATAATAATATTTAACTTTGATGTCTTTATAATGATTTATTATCACATGTAATGATTGAAAACTTCTTCAATACTTCTTACTAAATTTTAAAAGAGATATTAAAAGGGGCTATATTTTCTCGGCAACAGAAGACATGAGTTCTTCCTGCACAACGATAGAGAACCATGTAAACAGTTTTTTCTTTTTCTTTTATTAAATAATGGGATCCACTTTAAAAAAATGTATCTATTGCATGAGAGATCAATTTACCTATTGCTGAAGAAAAAAGATGTATCTATTGCATGAGAGATCAATTTATCTGTTGCTGAAGAATATGATTTCCATATTAAAATGTGGCAAATTTAATTGGTAATAAGTATAACTTTTCTTATTATTTAGAAGTTAAAATATTTATAAAGGTTTATTAATAATCATGGAAGCGGTTATACTTATTATCATTTTAGGTTTACTATTATTATTATTATTATTTTAGTTAGTGTTATCAATTTACCTGGTGCCAGGGAATTATGGGAGCATTGAGTTCCTTCTAATAACTGTAGTGACTTTTTCTCCATGGATCTTCACCTATGGATTCAGACAAATCTAGGATTAAAAGGTCCGTTTCAAACTGATCGAACTTGGCCTTTGTATTTTGGGGTGATAGCTTGGTGTTTGTGGGGAGAAAGAAATAAGGCGATCTTTGATCAAACTAGCATCTCAAAGTATGGTCTCATTAGGCGCATTACCTACACTTGTGGTAATATTCAATTGGCTAATGAAACCCTTATTAAGATTGGTCATCAGGAGCTTAGAAGAGAGGAACATCTTATTCACTGGAATTTTCCCTCTGAGGGTTATGTTAAACTTAATGTGGATGGTTTCAGCATGGACAATGGGCAAATGACTGCATGTGGTGGAGTCATAAGGGATGCTGCTGGGAACTGGTTAACTGGTTTTACAAAATTCCTTGGGAGTGGTACTTCTATTTTCGCTACTGGTTTTACAAAATTCCTTGGGAGTGGTACTTCTACTTCAGCGAAAATTTGGAGGGTTTTTGACAGGTATGAATCTGGCTTGGCATAAGGGATTTAGGAGAGTCTTTGTGGAGGGTGACTCGAAGGTGGCTTTGGAATTTATAAGAAAAGGGTGTGACGTAAGTCATCATCTTTCTGCTTTAATCATCCGAGCTCGTAGCATGCTTCAAAGAGACTGGATTATTCAGCTTAGTCATACTTATAGAGAAGACAATTTTGTTGCTGATTGGCTTGCTACTCATGCACCTCATCAGGATGGACAACTAATTGTGCTGGATGTCCCTCCAACGACTTGTTTGGAATTGCTTCGTAATGATTTGAGGGGAGTTAGTCTCCCAAGATTGTGCCCAATATAGGGCTTTTTCTTATGTTGCTTTAGTTTTCATTGTATCAAAAAAAAAGGACTAATTTAAAATTAGCGGTTGTTACTTTTTTTTTTATCGTTGATTTTAAATTGATTCAACGGTAACTAGGGTGAAAGTGGACTGGGCTGGGCCGAGCTTTGCCTCTAAAAGTCCAAGTCTATGTCAAAATTTTTAATTTAGCCTGGCCCGAGCTTAGTACGAGTCTAACTGTTAGCCTGACTTGGTCCGTTTATAAAAAAAATAAATAGTCTGGCTTGGCCCGTTAGTATGTAAATTTTTAACTTTCAAGCAGAACCATGAATCAACTTCACAAAATACTCAAATTTTGTTGCTAAAACAAAAATCACAATTTCAACGTCCAAACAGAACCATGAATCACAACAAAACTCGTCACAATCTACGTTTAAGTCACCTTCAAAAGCAAAATGCTCAAACTAAATAACATATATTTCATCAGATCCAACAAATAAATCTATATTATGTAAATTAAAATAACTACATGAATCCAACAAATACATCATGATGCTAGTAGCCAAAAACTTCTTTTCATCTTCTCCCCTCTACAAATACAATTCCAAGATTACATAAGTTGGCAAACAATTTATAAATGTAAAAAACAAAAAACAAGAATAAAGAATAGAAAAAAAAGATTAAGAAACAATAACTCTTTTAATAGATTCATATAGACAATCTCATATGCTGAGATGTTGGTTCCTCTTACATAAAAAATAAAGTCAAATGTTATCAAAAAAAAAAAAAAAAATAAAGTCAAATTTCTATTAAAATGTAATTGAATATAATTAAATTATAAAATAATTTCAATTAATTAAATTTATACCTTTTGTTTTGTTTAAGTCATACCTATAGCCAATCTCCGCCGTATATTCTTGGATGATATCTTCAGCCAAGCTAAAACGATAGGCATCAGTAACTCTTTCTCCAACACTAAATGTTGATTCTGATGGTATTATATATATTGGTACAGATTTTATGTCACTCTCAAAGACAGTATTGGTGAGAGAACGAACCTAAATCCTTCAACCACCTACTTAGCTCACATGCATTAACTGAACTATCACCATTTGATACTATTATGAATAATATAATTTTATTTACTTTAAAATAAATAATATGATATAGGCTGACCTGTAGGTTTAAAGACCTAATATGTAAAAAAAAAACTTATCACCTACTTTTTAAATAGGCTTTTTTTAAAGCCCGGGCCTGATCTATTTGACTATAAGTAATAGGTCAAGTTCGACCTAATATAGATTAGACCGTAGGTTCTTGTAGGTCGACTTGGTCCACTTTCACCTCTAACGATAAGAAAAGAGATAATAAGAACGATAAACCTAAAGTAATAATAGATATAACTTTTTCCACAATTATTATACCTACTCTACGGGGAATGAAAAAAATATTCTAATATCTTACTCCTTTATAATAGTACAAAATTATATATAAAGTAAACATTTTACATTTAAGAAAATTGATTATGCATAACTTAAATTGGAGAATGGTAGGACAGGATGAAAATTGAAATAGTGGGATGAGATGGAAAAAGGGAGAGAGTCAATGAGTGTAAGATATGGATGAACATCACACCTCACTCAATTAAATTAACCGGGAAAGCAAAGGAAAACCCACACATTTTCTCATATTTTTCCTTCTTTTTTCTTTCTTTTTTCTTTCCCTTACACTTCTCAACTATCAAAAACACAAGGTGGTGTTTTTGTTTGTGTATTGTTGTTGTTGTGATCGTGAGGGGATCGGTGAAATGGGGGACAAGCACGAAGACGACAGCAGCGATTTCACGTCCGAGGACGAAGGCACCGAGGATTACCGACGTGGCGGTTACCACGCCGTTCGAATCGGCGACACCTTCAACGGTGGTCGCTACATCGTTCAGAGCAAGCTCGGTTGGGGCCATTTCTCCACTGTCTGGCTCGCTTGGGACACCCAACATTCTGTATGTACATCTCTCTCTCTCAAAATCTTCACTTTATAAAAATTCATAGCTTTGAAAGAAGCACTTTTAGATGGGGGCTTCAAAGCTATGATTTTTAAGTTACATGGTAGTTTAATTAATTTGTAATCTAGAAAGAATACTAGGGATTATTGGCATTTAGCAACCATTTAAAGACTAAAAATAAATTGGGAGTAATTTTTGATTTTTTGATTTTTGTTTTAAGCCCTAGGCTCCATTGGTTTACTTGCTTTTTTGATATCATTAGTGTGTGTGACTATGCTTTGTGTGTGTGTGTGTGTGTATGTGGAGATCTGCAGAGATATGTGGCTTTGAAAGTTCAAAAGAGTGCTCAGCATTACACTGAGGCAGCTATGGATGAGATAACGATTTTGCAACAGATTGCAGAGGGAGACCCGGATGATAAAAAATGTGTGGTGAAGCTTTTGGACCATTTCAAGCATTCTGGTCCAAATGGACAGCATGTTTGCATGGTATTTGAATACCTTGGGGATAATCTTTTAACTCTTATTAAGTATTCTGATTATCGCGGAATGCCTATCAACATGGTTAAAGAGATATGCTTTCATGTTCTGGTTGGATTGGATTACTTGCATAAGCAGCTTTCTATCATACATACTGACTTGAAACCCGAAAACATCCTCCTCTTGTCGGTGATAGATCCATCTAAGGATCCTAGAAAGTCCGGTGCTTCTCTTATTCTTCCTAATACTAAAGATAAGACGGTACTGGAGTCAGGGGCTGCGAAAGACACGAAAGCATCGAATGGAGATTTGATTACGAATCATAAAAAAAAGATTAAAAGAAAAGCGAAGCAGGCAGCTAGTGGATGCTTTGAGAAGGAAGCTTCTGAAGGAGTTAAAGGTTATCCTGAAACCTCTGGTGCTGTGGAATCTTCTCCAAATGCAAGTTCTGCAAGAGAACAAGCTTCTAGTTCCGCGGGCACTAGTAGGTTATCAGATGCTGATGGAACAAAGTTAAAAGAGCAGGGTAACAAAAGAGGAAGCCGCTCAATGAGACAGAAGCTGCTGGCATCAATTGATCTCAAGTGCAAGTTAGTTGACTTTGGAAATGCTTGCTGGACTTATAAGCAGTTTACAAATGATATCCAAACAAGACAATATCGGTGCCCAGAGGTGATCCTTGGATCAAAATATTCCATATCTGCAGATCTTTGGTCCTTTGCTTGCATTTGTTTTGAGCTTGCAACTGGAGATGTGTTATTTGATCCTCACAGTGGTGATAACTTTGACAGGGATGAGGTATGTATATTTTGTTTACATATTTATATGTTCTATCTGATCATTCTAACTCCATGTAGTGAAAATTTTAGGTTTTGTGGTCCTTGAATTTGCTACAAGAAGGTTGAAATTTAATGAAATCTATAAACTATAACATTTTTCAATAATGTATGTGAGATTGTCATCCTTAGCTGTTATTGGAATCATCCCACGCTTTTTGTTAGCTTTTGAGGTATCTTCCCACTCCCCTCCCCCCTCTAAACTCTGTGAGAAACATGGGAACAAACTTTGGGTACTTCAAAACTACAGAGTATAAGATAAAAGATATGCACTAGTATTATAATATAAGGTACATTTGATGGAAGCTGAAATTGGATCTATAAAAGTCTGGATTGATTGTTATTTAGAGTTTAAGCTGGATAAAAAGTGAAGATACCCTAGTATCTGCATCAGCTTGTTCAGCATGAAATGGTCTGCTGGAATTGTGTCAAATTATACTAATAGATGAATTTCATGGCTGCTTTATTTTTAAAATTGGTTCACTTTGTTGAATGGAACATCCCATGTGTCAATTCATGATGTTAGTTTTTCACTTTTTCTGGTGTATATGGTGCTAGCTGTTGAGGAGGTGATGGGTATGAGTCCTGGCCTCATATAATAGCTATTGGCATTATTGATCGTGGAGAACTCTCATTTAAGTATAAACTGACTATGTCAAGTGCTACATATAAATGACCAATGATGGAAATTTGTAAATAATCAATTCAACCCAAAAGCTTAAGCTGTTGGGTGAGAGACTTTTTAATGGTTTATACTATTCTCTAAAACGCCCCTTCACACGAAAGTCCATTGGGCTTGAATGGTGGATAATGCATAGGCACACCTACCTGTGCTAAGAAACTCCACAAGACTTGATTAATTATTAATTAAATAGGGGCGGTGAGGATTGAATCCGTGACACTGAGGCTTTGGTACCATGTTAAGAATCAATTCAACCTAAAAGTTGAAGTTGTTGGGTGAGAGATTTTTTAATGGTTTATACTATTCTCTAACAAGAGTTCTCTTTCAATTTATAGAGTAAAAAAGTGCTTGGAATTTTGTTTTTGTTGTCACAAAGAATTTTAAAAAAGAAGAGTAATATAAAAGAGGATAAGCAGTCTTCTACAACATAGATAAATGAGGAAAGAAACAAATTTCACTACAGCAAAGTTATCCAGTCTTGCTGAATATCCATAATAGAAAGTAAAAGCATATTTATAAAGACCCTGGGCAGAACATTGAAAAGAAGTTAAATCTAAGTTCTGGCATAAAGGTACTTAGGCTCTGAAAATTATTTTGGTATTCCACTGAACCCAATATACTGGATGAGGAAGAACTTGTTTTTCTCCCTAAAAATGCTGCCTAAGTTGATTACATTTATGCGGAATCATGAAATATAATCAAATGCCATTTTTCAGAGATTCTTAGTAGTGCCGAAATTGTAGTTCTTTGTAAGAAGCATTCACTGATGCAATTTTAGTAAATTTGATTGTTAGTTTAGTTAGGTTTGTGTTTTGGTGTAGGCCATGGCAAAAATTGGGTTTTGATATATATCATCAATTAACACCAATTAGCTGTTATATGTAACTTCAGCGAGTCTAGGCATTTGTATAATCATGACCCTCGTTTATTGTATGCCTGCCACCAAAATAACTATGTTTCAGAATGGTTGTAGTCTACACTTTTATCTGAGTTAAAATATCCAATTTTAAGTATGTTTTTTGTGCCTTGCTTTTATCCTCCTTGTTCCTTGTAACACTTCTTTACTTCTACTAATACTCTTTTCTTATTATACACAGTGCACCTAATACTGATTCATCTGAGATATAAAAATTGAATTTGTAAACCCGGAATTGTTATTGTTATTGATTTACAAACAGAACTGTTATAACTCACTGCTTTTAAGCTTTATCTTCTATGTAATATGCTCAAGCCTATTCGCTTGAGTTTTCCTGTGTTGGAACTGATGCTTTACTAGAAGTGACAGTTTCTGAGAGGAGTGATCAAGCTTGAAACAGCTGATGAGAATGCTTTGAAACCATTGAATTTTTGTGATCAACAATGAGGTGATATGCAGTGTTTTTAACAAGGCTGTAACAAGCCAAAACTGCGAGGACCAGACATGGGACTATGGGAGAATATTCAATCTCAATTCGAGTGCATTAAGGATCTTTTCCAAGTATTTTCTTTTTGCATGATCTTCGGACCTTTTTATGATGAGAACCTACCTGAATTTTGTCTGTCAGATGACCATGTTATAGCTAATGATACAAATGGAGAATTAATTTTGTTGTTGGAAACATGGGAAAAACCCTATTTCTTAAGGTTTTAAGCAAGACATAAAAAGACCCTATTTATGAGGTGTTAGTTTAGTTATGGGTAGAAGATGGAATGTAATCAAGGTGAGAAGCTTGTAAGTTAAATTAAGGTGTTAGTTTAGTTATGTGAGAAGCATGTAAGGGTAAACACTTTGCATCAATTACAGTCTTACAGTAAGATTTTTCCATAGAAATAGGGTGATAGAATGGTGATTGGTGAAATGCATGTGAATTTGTGTGATCTGAAGATATCATGGTATCCGATTCCTTTGTTGATAGTAGTCATAGTACTATTATGAGTTCTATAAAAAGAGAGAGGATAGTACTACTATTTTGGGCTTTAAGAAATTACATTTTCATGAACTGAATTCGTGACGGATGTTTAGCGACACGAAATGAATAGAAGATGTGTGTTAGAGACTATAGAGATATAATATAAAATTATTAATTGGCATTCACTTAACAACTTTAGTTGTTGAGTTGAATTGGTTGCTTTATCATGGTATTAGAGCCTCCATGACCATAGGTCATGGGTTCGATCTTCATTGCCATCCACTTTCTAGTGAAATTAAGTCAGCACAAGGTAGAACAAAAAAAAGGGGCCTATGCAATTTCCATGCTTCAAGCCCAAAGGTTTTTTGCGTGAGGAGTTATGTTTTAGAGAGAGATAATATAAAATTATTGAAGGCTCATCACTTAACAACTTGAGTTTTTAGGTGAGATGGTTGTTTTACAATGTGTGATGAAGTATAGGGGATAATCTCAATTCAAGGTGAGATGGTGTAGAAGGATCTAACATAGACTAGACATATAACAGAAAGCAATTGAACATGTCAATTGAGAGAATATTCAGCTGGATGAATTAAAAAATAAAAGCGAGATGGAGAATTATCTTGGTAGAAGTAACAAGGATGATATACTAGCAAGAAACTGAGTATAGCAATTTAATTTAACACTTAGCGGCAATGAAGAATTAATGCATAATATTTCATATAATTTGTTAAGCATTCTGTGGCTGTACGCCTGTACCTTAGTATCCTGGGTTGAATTGATGTTGCTTAAAGTTACATTCTCTTCAGCTGTGTTACCTTGTAATTCCTGCTATTTTCTTCTCTATGTTCCCCAAAAAAAAAGAAAGATGTTCTTTATTGAGAAGTTACTTTGGAAATCCAAATTCCAGAGCTCCCTCTAAAGTGGAGTCATTCAATTGGAAAGCAGCACACAATATAGTACTAAAACTTATAATAATTTCTTTCAGGTTCTGGACCTATGGCCCGTTTGGATGGGCTTATAAAAAAATGACTTTTTATGCCTTGCTTATTTTAAAAATGGCTTTTACAAAAGCTAAATCTATTTAGATTTTGAACAAAATATTTGGTTTTTGAAAAAAAATAAAATTGGCTTTTGATTTTTTGCTTTTTTTAGAAGCTAAAATTTTTAGCTTCAAAAAAAGCAGGTTTTGGGCTTTTTTGTGACTTATGGTTTTTTTTAAAGAAGACATCCAAACGGACTTTGTAGTAGAAGTTGCTTTTTTCACCCCAAAGAAAGCAGCTTTTGGCTAAAAAAAGCCCATCCAAACGGGAACAAGGTTTTTCTCTTGAATCTTGATAGAGCAGTGTTGTTCAAATTAAGAGAAAACTGCTGATTTGTTACGCAGATTACGCTGCGCAGCAGCCAATTACATATGGAGTAGGGTTTTTGGTGTGTTGGTGAATCTTGGCTTGGGTTTGCTTGGATAGTTTGGAGCAGTTTCTGATTAAGTTTAAAAGTTTGGCAGAAGCAAGGATGATAAAGTTTTATGGCTGTGTTTTATATGCTGTTATCAGGTGTCTTCGGCTGGAATGGAATGATGGGATAGGATAGGAGAAGTCACCATTAGAGTAAAAGGCATGTTTGTTAATTCACATGTTCTCAAAGTGGAAAATGATAGGCCCCTTCTAGTTTCACAAGATACCAAAACAATGAGGAGGTGATCAGAAGCAAGTTGAGGCAAAGTTTCCTGGACAAGATGCAGTAACGTGTCCTCCCAAGTTCTTGGGAACAGTGTAGCCAGAATTTCACCATTCACAATTTGATTCCCAAGTCACCCTTTGAGGGAGTCAAAATGGTGGGCGATACTCCTTTATGCACCGGAATCATGAACCTATAATTTCTGGTCAAATTGCAGAATGATCCGGGTCAGATTTGTGATCCAAATGGAAAAATGGGTTGATTTCTCCCGTTCTTTGCATTAAGGGAGGGAAAGGGCCAACAGAGCCTGCTAATTTATATTTTAGAATAACCAACTGACTCCCTAATTGAAACCCTAACTTTATTATCTTCCTTCTTTAGTTTAATGGGAAATGGTTGTGATATCCTACCTCTAGAATTGAAGTCATCTATCCATATCTTGAATCTTGATTTATTTTAGATCTTAGGGAGCGTTTGGTTGAGGAGAAATTTTATGAATAATAGAGAAAAGTGATATATAGGGAAATGGTTGGAAAGTGAGATAGGTAGAAAAATGTAAAAAAAAGTTGTTTGGTTGGAAAAAATTTTACCAGGAAAATTAGGTAACTTTTATGAAATCTATGTTTGGTTGTAGGTAAAATATAGATGGGAAAATTAGGTAACTTTACGAAAATAACCCTGTTTGTAAATATTTTGTTCGGTGGCCGCGCCTGCCACTTTACAATGCTGTCAAATATCCACTTAAGAGAGGGTATCCAAGTCTTTTAGTCAAAAGCCTATCTCCAAAGATTGGTTGCTTTTCACAAATACCACATGCTCAAAGGACAAATTTCGCCGGCTATGTCCATGATAAAAGGTAGGCAACTTGGTTTGGTAGATAAGTTATTTAGGTGGGTAAGTGAAGAAGATGACTCAACCAAACATCGTTACTACATATTCCCACTTCCCATTTATCCATCTATCTCAAAACTTTCCCCCAACCAAACACCCCCTTAGAGTTTTAACTTCTTGGTACATAATGAGTTGTTTGGTTTTGAATGTCAATATTTGTCAATTTTTTAAATGATTAAATTTATGATGTATGTTATCAAAAAAAAAAAAAAAAAATTATGATGTATAAGATACTTTTTTTACTATGATAACATTTAGTCATGAATCTTATAATCCGCAAGTTGGAAAATTAACCTTACAATTTGGGATTTGACAATCATGCTTGGGAGCAAAATCGGTCCAAACTAGGAATTATTGTGCTCTTTTTAGTTGATGACGTGAACTAGACTTCAGATAAAGTTAAATTTATAAGATCGCATTCCTATATAAAAGCATCAAGGCCCCTCTTATAGGTTAAGTAACCTGATTACCTCTTAATTTTTCATGATGAAATCTCAAAGCGTTGAAATCACCCCATGCACACTAGCAAGAAGCGTGAAAGCAATGCACAAAACCCAGCTCCTTCCAAAGGAGAGAGCTTAGCCTAGGTTTTGTGGGGTTCCCCTTCCTATAGTCAGACTCAAACTGAGACATTGAGACAGTCAACCTTTGTAGCTATGCCTGCACAAAAGTCATACAAAAAACTCAGCTCCTTCCAAGGAATAGAGCTTAGCCTAGGCCTTGTGGTTGTGGCAACATGATCTGAAGTAAAACACCAACGTCGCTTTCCTACAATGTCAAGTTCAAGCAGACTGAACTTTATTCCATTGAATTTTAGCCTTCCTAATGATTATTAACTGCAAAAATTCTATCAAACCAGAAAAAGATTTTTGTGCAAATCAGTTACTTCAGGTAGATTGTGTTCCTTCAAGGAATTGTGTGCTGTGTACAGATGTAACGTATTAAATGCGTATTTGCTTATGCATTCCAATTTCAACATAATAACTTGCTTTGCTGGGTAGTGGCCATGTTGATTCTTTTTGTTAATGCTAGTTTTATCTTCAGTACTGGCATTTTGAAATAAATTTTACTTGCATCGGGGCTTTGGTCTTGATGTTGAAGTCTGATGTTAGCATGTTCTGTGTTTAATTTATCTCAGGACCATTTAGCATTAATGATGGAACTTCTTGGAATGATGCCACGTAAGGTAATAATATTTTTCTAACCCTTTCTTAGGTTAATAATATGTTCATTAGTTCATGGTTAACTTGAGACCGTGGATTATAATTCTCAGATTGCACTAGGGGGCCGATATTCCCGTGATTTCTTCAATAGATATGGTGATTTGAGGCACATCCGACGGTTGCGATTCTGGCCCTTGAATAAAGTCCTCATGGAGAAGTATGATTTCAGTGAGAAAGATGCAAATGACATGACTGACTTTTTGGTTCCTATCCTTGACTTTGTTCCTGAGAAACGGCCTACGGCTGGTCAGTGCCTTCTTCATCCATGGATCGATGCAGGTCCACGCCTTTTGGAGCCATCTGTGCCTTCTTCTACTCACAACCCTGCTGCTGAAACTGGTATTTCGGACCAGAAGAAAAGGGACAAAGATGATAGGGAGGCCATGGAGGCAGGAATGGGAAATATTGCTATCAATTCAGATTCTAAACCACTCATATATTCTCCATCTAAGAAGGCCTTCCAAGGCAGCCACAAGTAGTTCATCTATCTAGAGATCTTTCCTGTGTGACTGTTTTCATGTTCTGAGAGTGCCATTGCAGCGTTTCTCTCATTCAATGATGTCCGTTGGGAATTGTTCTTGGGATTGGAACTACTAGATCGGATGGAGTTGCACTTGTTCGATGCTAGGTACCGGCTAATCCCTTCAAGTCTTTGGCATAGCATCAACATCTTAAGCAAGGATATTCCGTGAGCTCTCACTATTAAGAATACCATTATGATATGGCCCGTGCCTTCTTTCTCATGCTTATGATAAGTTCAGGGTGATGGTTTTCGTTCCATGTTACCATTGACTTGTTTGTGAACAGTGTTCATTATCATGTCCTCTTCTGCTGAATGATATTTATCATATGAAAACATTCTAGACATTCTTCATTTTTTCATCTCTGGGTTCTCTGTTTGGTTTCTAGTCTAGTACTAATCCTATTAGTAAACAAACAATTTCGTTATAACCAGGGGTTGGTTTGTTTCTTATTAATTTGTTTTTTGGGTAATAAAAACTAAAAAGTTAAGGGAGAGTGAAAATAGTCTCGTACCAATGACAGGGTTTGTCGGAACAGTGACCATTTTGTCACGTTTGGACAAAAGAATTACCAGACTGTCACGCCAACAGTAAATTTTGTCAAAATGCCACGCGGCATAATTCGCTACACAGTGTAGCGAAATATGCCATGTCAGAACCAAAAATGCCACATGTCAAATTTTTGAGAAATTCGCTACCCTATGTAGCGAATTTCTCAAAATTTGACATGTGACATTTTTGGTTCTGTGCATTCTGACGTGGCATATTTCGCTACACTGTGTAGCGAATTACTTGCATGCATAATTTGCTACACTGTGTAGCGAATTATGCCGCGTGGCATTTTGGCAAAATTTACTGTTGGCATGGCAGTCTGGTAATTTTTTTGTCCAAACGTGGCACTTTGGTCACTGTCCCGAGTTTGTCATAGAATCTAGTAATGAAGGACTCATACCATGAATGAAATTGAAATCATTTTTATTGATGCTGTTTGATTATATCAAAGTCAATTATCATTGGTTGATGTTTTAATTGATTTTTTTCTGCAGAATATAGTATAATCTTGCCTTGGAATAAGATAACCATTTTCTTTTCCTAAGCTTTTTATGGGAAGAAAAAAAAAGTTGATGCCAATTACAGGCTGAATAATATGCCAAGTATGATAAAAAAAAAAGGGTTCACAATGTCCATATTTAATATTGGTTGCTAATATCAAATGATGGTAGCTCAGTTGGTGCATGAGAGTTGAACATGTAGGGGTGAGAACATATGTTCGATTCTCTCCAATATCATCTTTGAGAAGGGCTTAAAATTTTAATCCTGGACCTGTTTTGAATTTCGGATTAGTCTATAAAGAACCTATGTGATTATTGAGTGATAATCACAATATATATATGAGAAAAATATTTCTCAAGTAGCTTGAGATAAGTTTATCTCCGGCTATCCTAAAATTACATCGTTTTATTTATTTATTTTCTTATATTAATTGATTCATCTTTGAATGGTTATGATTTTCTTTTTCTCTCTCTTCCTTTATCACCGTTGATCCATCTTTGTACGGTTATGATTTAGTAGCCGGAGATAAAATTATCTCAAGCAGCTTAAGAAACGATAAACCCTATGTATATATATTGGTTGCTAATAAACTCTATGGCCTAAGCTTATGATGTGTAATTTTTTTTTTTTTTTCACTTAACATATCACTTCAATATTGATGGCTTGTAAATTTCCTTTTTTTTTTTCCCGTACTAGGGATTTTGGATTTTGAGAGCAGGAGAAATACTTCTCATTTTATATTTGCTTACGTAGTCAAGAATCATCCATTTCCCAAACCTATCCTCTAAAAACAACTGAATAATAACTAAGCTATTAATTAGCGTGTGGCTCATGGTTATACTTGAAACTGGGTGTCATCTTCTATTTTATTTTATTTTCTTTGTTTTGTGTAAATTGGTTTTCTTGATTAATTAGCGTATTTCATTATCAATCTATGGTTAAAATCAACTAAGCTATTCCCCAATTGGCCAAAAGCCACCCCCAACATTAAAGTATTCCTCAGGGAACAATAGGAACATTATTTAAATAACTAAATGATGGAGGCTCAGGGTTGGAAGTGGCTCTTATCAGTTACGTATAGGAAATTGGTTGAATCAGAAGCAATTCTATTGAATAACCTTTTCACAAGTGGCAGTTTAATTATAAAAAATATTTTATAAATATGTCACTATATCTTGTTGTTTCTTACTAAAAAGATAAACTATGTTATTCGGTGTTTCACTTATTATTTATGTTCTTTTTGTTTGAAAATAAAACAAGGTGTTGGTGCTCTGAAAGATAGGGTGAAAGGATAACGGTGCACTCCACACAACACACAACAAGATTTCAACCTCATATTCATAATGTACCATAACGTCCACAGGCAAAAAAAATTAATATAATGTATTTTAAATAAATAATTACGCATTTAAATTCTCCAAAAAGGGCGTGGCATTGTGTAATAATTGTGCAATAAATTTGTATTTTTTCACGCCCTTTTTGGAGAATTTAAATGCGTAATTATTTATTTAAATACATTATATTAATTACTTTTGCCAATGTCCACATAGATAATCACCAAATTAAAATTTCGATTCATTCATTTTTTTTTAATTATCTCCCAATAATTTCATAGATTTTTTATAGACTAATATGGAATTTGGAATAAGTCTAAAATTAAAATTTTAAATGATGTACTGAAAATTGATCAAATATATACTCTCAATCACATTTGCTCAATTTCCTGCATGCCAACTAAGCTAGTATGATTTAGTGTTCATTGAATTTGTTGATAGAAGCCAAGCCAAACAGTCGTGTACGGCCAAACAAGCCATGTCCAGGATTAGGACAAGGATATTTATTTTTATTCTTCACTTTTTGGCAGAAGTCCATAATAATGGAGTCTCTTTCTCGCTATCATATCCAACAGATCTTAACAACATATTCTTAACAAAACAGGAAAATTAAATGGGAAAGGACAGTTTTTTTTTTTTTTTTAAGCAAACCATTTCTTCATTTCTTAGTTAATTTCCAAGGTCTATTAAGTCTTAAAGAAGCATATTGAATAAATTTGATTTTTTGAACATCCAAATATATATAAAGTCATGTGATATTATTTCCATTAACTTTTTTCTTTTTCTTTTTCTAAACAAAAGTATGCAACTCAAATCATCCTCAACAAGATCTTAATGTTGGTCAACTAGGCATTGACCAACATTTGTGGATGTTGTCGTCCTACCCTTATTTTACAACTTTTTTTCACACTGACTCTAGATTTTCCCTTTATTTTCTATGTCCATGGCATTCTAAATCATTGACTGGTACAAAAGCCTAAGAATCCCATGAACTCATGGTTGCTTATCATTTGAATGCTCTTCTCAATGCCAATGACTCCTGAAGTAAAAAAATAAAATAAAAATGTTACAATTAGACACTTCAATGTGAAATGTGTATTACATCAATACAAAAAGCAATAGAGATTGGTTTCCATTACCCATAGTGAGAGCACTTGCAAAAATGACACCTGAGAGGATGAACACAATGATTGATGCCCTCCCAAGAAATGCAATTAATCTTCTTACAAAGAACTGTCCCCAAAAGCCAGCCAAAACAGAAACAATGATGAGGTATAAAGCTGCAAGGAAATAAAAATCAATAGGCTAGAGTCATATTCACATAATCACATCAAATGATCAAAGCTTTGAAGAGTTGATGAAAAATAAATTACCATAAGGAATGGGGAACCTCTTGAGAAGGTAGAATTCAACCACAGACAAAGATGATGAAAACATCATCACAAATGTTGCTGTTGCACTAGCAACCTACAATTCAAATGATCAACATCCTTGGATGTCAAGTTACTATAATTTAGCACCAAATTTAACAGTGTCATTACAATTTAAAGGGCTTATATACTGTACCTGTGGGATGACACCAATCTCTAGGAGAAGAGGGCCTAAAACAAACCCTCCTCCAGAACCAAGTAGACCTCCAACAATTCCCCCAACTAGGCCACAGAGTGCACAAAATGCAATGTGCATAGCATTCCATTCTATTGAAGCCTCACAGATGTATGCATGGTTCCCCGTGGTCATTCTCTTCCTGTGCTCCTTATATAACTTCACTGCTTCATAGCCAAACACCAAAAGTGCAATTGGAAACTGTAAAAGAAAGAGGAAAGGTTCATGCCAATTAGTCTAGTCCCACTGCAAAATAAGTTCAGTAACAATTTGAGGTTATGTGATTGCTCTTATCATCATACCTGCAAGCCATAAAGCACCCAATACCATGCACCACAAGCCTCTACATAATTCTGTAGAACAACAACAAATGTTATATTTAAAACAATGACAAAATTGAATATGAATGTGAAGGGAAACACTTGCCTTTATGATTTGAAGTAGTAGGAAAGAAACCCACACAACCATCAGCACCAGAATCCTTTTCCATCTAAGGTTAAGACAGAGAATTTGCTGAATGGGTTTCATGTGAGAAAAAGGTCAGTTCCTCACAAATAGAGCAAAATGAAAAATTTGTCAACTGTAAGAGAAATTTACATACAAAAGTTGACTTCTCTTCTTTAGGGATCAACGGCTCGTATTTTGTGTCGATTAGAACTGCATATTTCAGGAAATACAGATATTGACACTCCATACACAGCCAAAGAAGCAATCATATGCGTGTATATATATGAAAAGAAATCGTTCCTATTTCCAAAGCAATAAAGCATGACACTTTTGTACTATTTATTTATTCTTTATGCAAAGATAACAATAGTGGAAATTGTATTTGTTAATTGTCTCACGTTGGTCACGGGAATTAACCATAGTCGCTCGTTGCTTGGCCATATCTTTCTGCAAATAGCAAACAAAACAAAAGTTAGAAAGAAAAAGCTAATGAGTTACTTTTCCCAAAAACTTATCTTGATAGCTTATAAGAATATTGAAGGTCCCAAGTCATGAAATTTTTACCTTGATATCAGTCTCAACCCTCCACATCTCAATTCCCTTGAAGAAAGACCTTGAGGAAGTCCCTATACAAAAACAAAACAGTGTTCTATGGCTTAAGAATTGATTCATTCAAACAACACTGGTTTAAATGATGACACAGACCTATGAAGAGAATGATGATGAGGATGGTGATAAGCCAGTAGGGGAAAACAACACTGAGAGAGACACCAACAGTGATTCCAAGCATAAGCATAGGCTGGAACAGAAGCGCCAGATCATAGTCTAATATAGGCACATCCTCTTTCGTTGGATGAGGCACTCTTAGATTATACCAAACTGATGATGCTGATGCCCCCATTATCATACCTGGATCAATTCAACAACACCAAACTTTTTCACAACACAAAATAGAAAACACCAACCACAACCCACTAGACAAAAATTATTAACTAACTAGAAAAGAAGCATTAAAAAACAAAAACACACACAAGGGGTCAAATCAAGAAACACCATGTCCATGAAACTAGTATAAGAAGAAATTGTGACAAAAGTATTACATTTAGAAAGAGCAGCAGCAGATTTTGTATCAAACCCAACAAGCAGATTAAGCATGGGAACGAAAATGCCACCCCCTCCAACCCCACCAACAGTTCCACAAGCTGATCCTAAAAAACCAATCACTGTAGCCAACGCAAGATTCCAACTTGGCTTCAATTCCTGCACATACGCACACACAACACACCATGCATTAATCTTATGTGCACAACCAACACACCCCCATGCTACATAACCTGAAAATAATGAAGAATTACATACGGGCCAAACTTTAAGAGTTGCAGAACCATAAAGTGTAGAGGTTGAAAGAGAGGCTTTGATGTCATCATGGACATGGTTGGTGAGAAACAGCGCAGACAGAACAGCAAAAGAGAAACCAGATACGAGATAAACAATGAACCATCTCGTGGACATTGTTATGGTGAGGAAAAACCAACAAGAGTATTAACAAACAAATGTTTATGTTTATGTTTATGTTATGTGTCCTTAAGAGTTGTGGTTATGTAACTTTCTCTGTACCACAAAGACAAAGAAGCAACAGAGCATAGAACAAAGAACTGATGGGGATATATAATGCGCAGTGGAAGAAGTGCAGAGAGAGGACATTATCACGTGTGTGTACGTAACTGCTACCTCTTATAAAATCACGTGGCACCATGTCACTGGATGAGGATGAGAGTGTTCTCAGAAGAGTCAGAACACAGAATGAATATCTTATGTCACGTGAAACATTTCAGCCATACATAAATTAAGAGATTTGTCTCGAGTGTATGAGTAACTTGAGATTTTGTGTTAGATAAGACGATTTATTCCCCCTTGAAGAATATCCTTACTATGTTTGTGGCTTTCATTGATTTTATTTTGCAGGCTTTTTTTCCTATTCTATTAAGATTTTCGTATGGTCCAGAATATTATACTGTGAGGTATCAATGTCTCATTGAATCATCAATTAATATGAAAGGTCGATGATTTATGAAGTTTTCCATTTTTTAATTCTCTGGATGGGAAGAATATCAACCAAATTAAGTAAGCTACGATATTTACCAAAAAAAAGAAAAAGTAAGCTACGATAGCCATGATTCTTAAAATGTAAATTTTTTTAACATGGCGATATCACATTAAATTTTTTTTACTTTTTTCTCTTGATTAATATTTGGATAGAGTTTTTAAAAAAGTTAAGTACAAAGTTGTAAAGTGATAAAGTCGTATATATCCCCACCAAAAAAAAGGTCATATATATAAAAGAAGGAAAAAATGTATACCTGTTTAAAGAACACAATTTGTATCATTTTAATGTATTTATTCTATGTTTTATTAGTAAGATATAGTATTAATACAAAAACTTATTTTTTTTTCTCCTCAATCATTTCAACTGATGTGTAAAAAAATAAAATAATTTTTCATATTATAATTATATCTTACTACTAAAACGTAGTGTAATACATTAAATGGACAAAAGTACATCGACACAACACCCATATAAGAATTTAATGTAAGATATAGTATTCTGATGCTATGATATTTTGCACATGTGAATGATTAATAAGGATTTTTTTAAGGTAAAATGTTCGAAGTGTGAAATTTAATTAAGCATTTTTTAAGGGACTAAAATTAAGAAATGAATTTTTATAATTTTGTATAATACATGTTAGGCTTTAATGTTTTTATAATAAATACCGATAAATTATCTACATTCACTCTCACAATAACATCATTTTGGGTTGCAAGATTAAAAAATTATAATGATAAAGATTATTATAATCTTGAAATAAATTATAATTAAAAAAATATTTTGATTTTCGCTCCGAAATGACGTTTAATGCAGATAATTTATATGCATTCACCGCAGAAAAAATGAACCCTACATATGTTATAGTTACTATAAATAATTTTAAAAAAAGGGTTTAGTTTTTCTCAACCTGTGGGAGATAATTTTATATCCTACACATAGGGGTGTTAACGGGCCGAGCCGAGTCAGACTTTGTCATAAAAAGTTAAGCTTGTGTTTAAATGTGTGAGTCTGGCCTAACATCTTACTTGTTATGAATATAATTATCGGCCTATGACCTACCTTATTTACAAAAAAATAAAAGTCTGATTCAGCCTGTTTAAAAAAATAAGATAATAAAAATTTATCCAAATAGAATATATAATTCACAACACAAATAATTCCACAAAGATTCATAAATTTAATATATATCCAAACAACATAATATATAACAAAATCACTCAAAAAGTCTGTTTAACCAATAAAAAAAGGTGAAATGGGTTGAGGAGACAGAGAGAGCTACTGTGAATAGTATAAAAAATATAAAATAAAAATAAAAATTAATATACTAGGTCAGCCTGAGAGGCTCTAAGGCCGAGCTTTTGAATTGGAGCATGATGCATTTTTATTGAATGAGTTTTTATACAAGTTCAAGTTTGGTTCCTGTTATGGACCTGACAAATGCCCATATTCTAGAAGGACCAATAAAGGACAGCACAAAAGGAAGGGAATCTCATATTGATGACAATCCTATCCAGACAGCTAAGCAGTTGGACTTGGGCCCCCAATATTCCTAAGAGGCCCATAATTACACTCCTTCAGGTAACCCATCTATAAATACAGGGTTAAACCAATAAGGTACACACACTCTCTAAACCCTCTCTCTTAGCTTGTCACTGTGCACACACCCCACGCCTTGATCATGTCGATTATTATTGTGCACAGTGATCAGCCTACCCTCAAGGGTATCTCATTCATAGATACCTGAGAGAGGGCACCTAGATCCTAGATAAAATATACCAGCCACCGTCTGAACATCTCTGTCTTTCAGACAGAACATTGGCGCCGTCTGTGGGGACGATAAAATTCTATTCCTACCCCAATAGTGGTGAAAGCGCAACAACTGCCGCCACATCCAACAAATCCTGCTATGAAGGGAGCAAAATTCAAAAATGAAGCTCATCAACCGCCCAAGGCCGAGTTCGCAATCCGAGATATGAAAGTCAATCTCAACGGGCATGATGAAACCAAGATCAAGATCGTGACGAGATAGAGATTGAGATCAAAAGTATGACCACCACCATCGTCGAGATCATGGCTGTGGTCGAGAAGGTGACCGAGACCCTGACAGTGGCCGAGATCGGGTCTAACAAAAAGGAAGCAAATCAAGCAAAGGGCAAAAGCTAAGTTTTTCTCCTTTTGTCTAATTTTAATTTGCGATGAGGAAAGGATCCACCTTTTTAATATGTTGTACTGATATATGGGAAAATGATCCATCTTTTTAATATATTCAAGAAAAGAACTCACCTTTTTAAATATTTTATATCAACATTGGAGAAAAGTATCCATTTTTGTTTAATTATCTAAGTTGTGGCCGAGGTTACTCATATTAAAAGCACCAGGCTACAAATATGAATTACAAATATGATATATGATTGAAAGACCACAATTTAGCACCAGAAACTTTCCCAAATCCAAGGTGCAAATGTTACTTCATTTATAAAAAAATATAAAAAGGGAGTTATGGATCTCATTGAATGCAGATTAGGTAATATTTAATTAATTGTTGATTGCACCCCTGATTGCTAAAACGTCAATAAATCCAATAGTATCCTATTTAGGATTATTAAATTATCGATTGATTATAAAATCAATTTTTGATTTTGCAACATGTATTTAATGTGTTGTTTTCTAATTAAATTGGATTCTTGTGATATGTACATATCACATATATGAATGAAAATATTTCCTTCTATCTTAATTTGATTGATTTTTCTTGCAAGCGTGTGGCATCAACCTGATTCCAAATCACTAATTGATTTTAATTGGAAAGCATGTTTTTTGCAAGGAAGTCAGAATCATTCGGTGCAGTATGAATACAATATATATATTTGGAATTAATTCTCATAAGATTCTTGCTTGATTGGCATAATTTTAGCACACATTTAATATGGCTTCTTGATAATGAAGCCCTTGACTCAATATACTCGGTATATGCTGCATGGTTGTGCATAATCATTATGATAATATTATGGTTGGACATATTGCATCAAATGCTTAGTTCAAAGAAGCCGACATTCTCGGCATAACCCGCGGGGCTGCCAGCAAAATAATATGAAGGCTATTAAAAAACCCATCTATGCAACTAGGAATTTCAGATCTGATGAATGAAATTTGGTTTATTGCAAAAGAAAGCATAAACATCACTTTGAAAGAAAATATTTGGCACCATCCTTGGATATGTACAATATCTATATACAATATATATCTTGTTGAATGAATGTCTTTGGATGAATGATATTTTTCGTGCCAAGAATGGGTGTTTATGAAGGAACCCAATACCAACGGAGAGATGCCAGTAAATTGGTATTTGACAGAGGCCACACATGTTGAACCAAATAGCACATGCCAGTTCAAATACAGCCGACGTCGTAATCAATTTGGCCTCATCTCTGCTTAGACAAGCTCACCGCCTTGTTGAGGCCACTAGCCGGAGTCAATGGCAAATCGAGGTTAATTGGCCACGACATCTCCATATTTTTTTTGAAATGATGTAAGGCATCTTGCAGTTAGAAACACCGGCTGCTGTAACAACATCACCGAAGGCGAGCTCGTCAAGGACATGTTGACCATATAGGCCATGAACAGATTCAATCCTGGTCGAAATGGCACTATGTCATGCTTCTCGATCTAATATGCACTCTGTTCGTTGCTACAAGGACTTGTCAATGGCGTCTCTGGCAGGGTTGGCCTTGATACACTGCTAATAAAGGCATGCGCGATCTACCACTGTGGAAGTTGTGTAGAAACACAACATCGCCTGACATGATTAAGCTTCAAACTTGACATATCTCAGCTTTACATACCTCGGCAGATGTGCGCAACAAAAGCAGAGCATGGATTCTAACGATAAGTCTTATTTTCTGAGCATCTTAAAATTTATTGCTTCTTTTATTGATGATCTCCTTGTGTCCTCACGACCAAAGGAAGTAATGAAAAACCAATCATGAAAATGGAACACAAGTAGAGTTTCTTATATTGAAAAGAAAATACAATTCATTAAATTGGTATGAGAAAAGTTAGCTGAATTTATTAACTTTTGTCTTTTACCATTATACATTTAAAACGAGAAGAGAGCCTGCAATGTAGCAGTCACATGCACAAGATATTTTGAAACAAAATATCATAGGATGCTCATTCTTCTTCTCAAAATTACATATTACTTTTGACCACGGTGCACTAACTTTGAGCAACCTTAGTACTTGTTTTATGCATTTTGCCTTTACAGAAAGAAAAAGGAGATTGACATAAAGGTGCAAATGGGCAATTCTGAAACCAGTTTCATTAACCATCACCATGGAGAATTCTGGTTCCTATGGGTTTACAAGTCTCATGAACCAAAATACTTATTTCGTAAACTGGAGACAATGCAACATGCCAAGTCAAGCTTACTAAGGGTTGAAATCCTTGCTACCAATTGCTAGAATATACTGTCACCAAAAGGAGTTTTGAAGCCGAGTAGCATTTCAAACACTGAG